ATGTATAAATCTATGTTTTAAAATTATATTAAAGTTTCAAGAACATGGCCTGATTTTTCATCAACAGTGCTTAGTATCTTCTGTTCTGTTCCACAGTGCTGTTGGATAATAATTGAGAAGATACTTGTGATCACTGACTAGGCCTTATCTAACCCAGTGGACCTTCTGTTCCTGCAGTCAGACTTACTGCTGAAATCTTCTGAGGGAAACATGCTATTGAATATGCTTTGCCCACCGTGGAGAGAAGGGGAAGGGGCAATTGATATGCCCCTCAGCAGGGTGCCCAGGTAGCACTTTACAATGCAATTTTCCCATTTCCTGCTTGTTAAAAAGGGGATAACAGCATGGGTTACACCTACAGAAGTCCCACAAAGATTCCTCACTCCAAAAGTCAGGGAAATAGTCTTAGAACTTTGCTGCCTTTCAAAACCGTCTCCTGTTCAGTTCAAGACACAAAGACCAGTAGTCCCACAGGCAAAGCCTTCAAGTCCTAAAATAAAATACAAAGGCAGAGACAACTCTAGAACAGCGCTGCTATAAAGAGTCAACCCTTTCATTCCCACCTGCTCACATAAATTGAAATCTGATTACTAAAAGTGATGAAGACCTAATTTCCTTTTTCTAAGGGACAAACAGCTTCTTCTCTCTCAGCTCACCTTCAAAACAAAACTTTGCAAAATAAGTACAGTCTCTTCCTTAAGGGTCCTCCACCAATTATGCCAATTAAATTCATGAAATTCAGTTTTTTTTCTGTGTCAGAAGCAACTTGAGAAACTGCTAGTCAAGTCACTTCTGATGGGAGAGAATTGGCCTTCTACAAGGGGATGCCCGGATGTTTTACAATCCTGTGGGAGACTTCAATCATGTCCCTGCATGAGAAACTGAAATTGACAGACAGGAGCTCACCACGTATCACGAATTTGAACCACCAGCCTTCAGGTCAGCAGTTGAGCCAGCACAAGTGTTTAACCCATTGCGCTACTGCAGCTCCTATGAAATTCAGGTGATTGAAAGGACAGGGCTCTAGCAGAGCAACACCTGGTATGTCTTTTATCATATTTAAAAACATTCACTACAAATATTTGTTTTTTCCCTAGAAATTATCAGGAACTGGCAGCCAATGTCTGTGGACCACAACTGGTCCATGGGTCAACACTTACAGAAGCTTTGTTCTTATCGAAATGTGAAAATATTATTTTACATATTATGGAAGAAAATTAGGAGTTAATCTATATCATAGATACACTGAAGTCTCTAGTTAGAATGAAAAAATCACACAGATCTCAGCAAACACAAATGAATTTTGTCTTTTATAACAAAGTTAAAACATGGTTTTGCTATCAGAAGCTGATAACATTCTGAAATCTGTAGTTAAAGAAATTCATTGCAAGGTAATGCAGGCCCTCTAGTGTTCAAAACATAGATGTTTCCCACAGGTGCGTTCCATTTACACAAAACTCAAATTGTTCAAATATAACTTCAGGATGAGTCCTAGGTACATCTGCCCTTTTAGATTTAGCACCCTCCAGATGTGTGGAATGATAACTCCTGCTATTCCCAGCCAAACATGGCTAAGGTCAATATTGACTGAGACTGGTGGGAGTTAAACACAGCAGAAACACATTTGCAGGGCTTCAGGTTGGGGAAGGCAGACGTCCATCATCCAGCAAATGGCTCACAGCTAAATGCACGAGATCTCTCTATAGATCCAGGTGACACGACATGACACAAATGCTTTGACTCTACAATGACCCACATTCAAGTCATCACTTCACATGACATTGCAGACAGCAAGTAATTAACAGATAGGTGTCAAATCATCCATACAACAACAGCAGATTGTTTCTCAGCATGACTGTTCAGATGTTGAGGTGGTCCTCAGGTTCACATTTTTTTTGTCTCTAAATGCAAAATAAGGGGATTTGGACTTCCTGCTAAAAGACAGGCAAGCATAACCACCTCCCAGTACTTCTTTACTGTAATAGAGATATAGCTGAGCAGCAATGCAAAATCAAATGTTTTCTGCTGAGGTCCAGTGTGTTTATTTAGATCTTTGAGCCATGGAATTACATTAAGAAGAGCCTTACACAGAGTTATAATGTAACTTCAAAATTCAGACAATATAGACATCTGGCTGAATGTAAATGACAGGTCAGCATGATTTTCTGACCCTAAGAGCTTGAACCATTTGTGGGCTAAAATTAGAAGGCTGTAGCACATTGTGTTGGCAACTTGTGAGCCAACCAGGTGGGCATGGAGGGTCTCTGGTGCATTGAAGACATACATGGCAGATGGCAGGTGCAGCTTTGGCCACAAAGGTGCTGCGGCAATCTCTTACCTTCCCTCCTCCCACCTGCTGTAGCGTAAAATACTGCAGCCCTGCACTGTGACAGATGGGGCCAGATGGTTGCAGGCAAGAGTCTGAGGAAGGCCCTCACCGCTGACTTTCTCTCTCACATCCATCAGCTAAAACCTCAGTCCATGCCTTCTTTAGACTCAGGGATTGGCAAGTCTAGCAGCAAAAGTGCAGTCCAGCCTTAGAATCTTTACATTACCAACAAGGCCACACTTGAGACGTTATCTATAATTTAGTGCTGCTCCTATGGAAGAATGGATGGCTATCCTTTTTCCCCCTTGAATTTGTTAGAAGAATTGTACAACATTTGCAAAGTTATTTATATTCAGAGTGGAAAGAACTTGAAATGAAAATGATTCAAAAGCAAAATGGGACAGGTTTTTCTCTATATATCTAGGGTTTAGTCCATACTTCAGGAAATAAAGCCCAACAGCTCATTGGAGGGAAGGATATTAGAGGCAAAGATGAAGTACTTTGGCCACATCATGAGTAGACAGGAAAACTTAGAGAAGTCAATGATGCTGGGGAAAATGGAAGGAAAAAGGAAGAGGGGCCAACCAAGGGCAAGATGGATAGATGGTATCCTTGAAGTGACTGGCTTGACTCTGAAGGAGCTGGAGGTGGTGATGGCTGACAGGGAGCTCTGGTGTGGGCGGGTCCATGAGGTCACAAAGAGTTGGAAGCAATTGAACGAATAAACAACAACAAAAAGTGTTTTGAAGTGTATTTGAATGCCGCTCTGAGTTTTTATATTCAAACCATGTCAGTTCTCAAGTAACATTGCCATCTCTCTCTCTCTCTGTTTCTCACACTTTCTTTTTTCCTGATAACTTATTCAACTTAAATATCTCTATGTCAGGCAGGTCCAACATTGTCCTGAATTTATGTAAAAAATTCTGTGCAGAAAACAGTTTTCTGCCCAAAAGCCCAACATGATTTTGTGTGTGTGCAATAAAGCCATGCACTGAAAATAGTCTTTGAAAACTGCATGGGCTTTGAGGACTTTCTCACAGCAGGAAGAAAAATGTTTCAATTATTTGTTGCTTCCTTTGAGAGTCAAATTAGCAGAGATTTGTATCCCCATTCCAGGTCAAATCTGTAGCACCTGTAGCTAGAGACTCTTGGGAAGGAAGATGTTGCAGAGCACTTTGGTCTGTTTTCTTTTACCTTGAACTAGGGGCACTTCTACACATGCTGTAAAATGCAGAAGAAACCGGGATAAAAGAGGGTGGGGTGGCTAAATGACGTTTCACAAAAATGCATGCTGATTCAGATTAATAGCTTAAAAAACATGTGTTAAAAAGGTGTACTTAAAACAAATTTTGGCCAAAAATGCACATATTCGCATGGCTGTATATCCCTGCAGTCAAGGAAAACACATGATTCCATTCATGTGTCCTGGTGTGGACTCCTCCAGTGTATGTGTACAGTTTGAAATCCTGAAACAGCTGATCTGGGCTGTAAATAAATGGAGCCATGAACACACAGGTAGCTAAATGGAACACCAATGGAAAGTAATTACGATGAGAACTCTCTGCAAACATTCCTTTGTTCTGATCTTCATGAAATTAAACAGAGCTTGAATTTACAATAGGGTGAGGAGTGATAATAAGAAATCTATGTACATTGAGATATCCGCATGAGTGCATATGAGGTCCAGCATGTCTTGGAGAGTAATTCTTTTAAAGTAAATTTTTGCCAGATGTCCCCCTGTCCATATTGCAGATTTCTAATATCTGCTACAAGCAAAGGTGTCAGAATGGACCATTACTGGGACTCATGGATCTGTGTTTGGACTTGCTGTCAAGTCCTGCCACTTTTTGCCCCACTTATTTGTCCTGCATTTTGATCGTGTCTGGAAGTACCCTAAGACCCCTTCTATACTGCTATTTAATACAGATTATCAAAGCAGGTAATTCAGATTACCTGTTTTGAACTGGATTATGTGAATCTACATTGCATATAAAGTTCAAAGCAGGTAATCTAGATTTTATATGGCAGTGTGGAAATACCCTAAGAGGCATCTCTCACTTTTCCCAGTTCCTAATTGTGTTAGAATTTCAGTGCTCTGGATAAATGATTCCCAATCTTGAATCATTCAGATATTTTGGATTTGCACAATTCCAGAACACAAGGCCAAACTGGCTGGGGCTTCTGGGAGATGAAGTCCTAAACACTAGGGACTCAAAGCTTGAGCGACACTGCTCTAGATGGCCTGGAACGTGGGGTGGGAATCATAGATCTCTTCAGGTCTTGGACTGCAATTCCCAGTAGCCCTAGCCAGGGTGGTCAATAATGAAGAATGCAGGAAGTTCAACAATGCCATATGAACTGGCTGTTGTGTTAAAGTCTTCTGTTGATGCTATATTCTGTGAGGCACTTAGGTGAATTTATCCAGGCCAGGGACTTTTATGTGATGCCACCCAGATTTTGGAATACTCTCTTTACAAGAGGTCAACATTGACTTTTTTTAATTCACTTATGCCCTTTCCTAGATTTGATATGGCACTTTATTAGCTGATTTGGGTAAAGGGAGTTATCAAAGGTGCCCAGACAAATTTGAAGGAATAATACAGTTACATAAAACATGTACATTCATATACGGCAATCATTCTGTATATAAAACTTTGAGGAGAGAAACTGCTGAAAGCAACTGGTTTTTATTGATATAGTATGGCAAAATATGTTTGCCACCGATTTAAAAAGAACACCTGCCATTGTAACAACTAGGAAAGTTCCTTCAATGCAGCACATTATTGAAATGTCAAGAGAATGCATTTTTAAATAAATCCAGTTACACGCCTGTTGTCTCCTTTTTCATTTATACAAAATCTGATGCTCAAATGGACATAAAAGAAAAGACAGTCCCTGACAGTAACATTTTTTTTGCTCCAACCTAGTTTCAACAACAGATAATACAGATCTAGGAAACATGAACTTGACTTTTCTCCCAATCAAAATGTTAAATCTAAACAGTAAAATGTACGCTCAGGCACATATATCATAAGGTTTTTAAGACAGCAGCATTTAAAGTAGTTTGAGAAACAAATGCTTTCTACAGAAACACAGCTTTTGGTTCTGATAAAATTTGCATTAAAAAGCAAAAGCATGAGTAAAAAACCCCAACTCACAATCATTCAGTGTTGCTGTGGGGGTTTCTTTTGTCTATAAGGCTACTGGAGAGGATGGACAATTTCCAGTTATTGTTTTTTAAAAAATTTAAAATATCAGTTGTGAAATTTCTAGTGAGTCTCCTAAAAGATCCAGGATAGGTTGTAACAATGCAACATAATTTCCATAGGAAATAATGGTAGTGGCAAAGGTCCCATCCCAAAGGTACTGAGGTTGGGAAGTAGACAGAAAATCCCTAAAAGCACTGCTGTTTGCATGAAGGCGCCAGATTCCCGTTTCTCCTCCCTCAATAAATGTAATTGTATTGTAAAAGTAATATGCTAGTTGTTATTCATCACAGTTTGATCTTGCTCTGTATAACCTCCAGCTATGCTGGAAACAGAAGCAGAAGAATTAAATAGGAAAGGATTAATAAACACAATCCTGTTTAGTTTTACTCAGAAGTACCTTTCACTAGATTCAGTGGGGTTTATCTCTAAGCAAGTATGGCAAGTATGGCTTTGGTGAGGCATAAAGTTCTTTGAAAGAGAATTCGAAATGCATCTCACAAAGCTATAAATCTCAGGATTCTATAGTATGCCGCCATAGCAGTTAAAGTGGAATTGTAGTGCTTTAATTCTCTAATGTGAAAGGGTACAAAATCATGCAAAAAGGACTGGATCTACACTGCCCTATATCCTAGGAACTGATCCCAGATTATCTGCTTATCCCTGATTATCTGTCGGTGTAGACTCATATAATCCAGTTCCAAGCAGAATTTCTGGGATCAGATCCTGGGATATAGACTGGGTATGTTTAACCTGAAGAAGAGAAGGCTGAGAGGAGACATGATAGCCATGTATAAATATATGAGAGGAAGTCATAGGGAGGAGGGAGAAAACTTGTTTTCTGCAGCCCTGGAGACTAGGATGCAGAGCAATGGCTTCAAACTACAGGAAAGGAGATTTCACCTGAACATTAGGAAGAACTTTCTAACTATGAGAGCTGTTCAGTAGTGGAACTCTCTGCCTAGAAATGTGGGGGACACTCTTTCTATGGAGGCTTTTAAATAGAGACTGGATGGCCATCTGTTGGGGGTGCTTTGAATCTGATTTTCCTGTTTCTTGGCAGGGTGTTGGACTGGATGGACCATGAGGTCTCTTCCAACTCTATGATTCTATGTTTCTAGGGCAGTGTAGATCCAGCTAAAGTGTTTCATATATGCTGATATCAATGCATTGTACTATCCTGTCACAGCTTTCTGAAAACTTTAATCTTAAAATTAGAACTCAATGCAAACTCAAGAGATGTTTTATACAGGTTTGGCACCTTGTCTGAGAGTGGATTGGGGTAGTGCCCCAAAGGACCACAAGTTGCTGGTGCCTTTACCCTCTCACTTTGTCCTTATGGAGCAGAAATGTGTTTGTGTGTGTTAGTAAACAGAGGTAGTAAACAGAGGTTCTTCATAACCTTTTCTGTAAATAAATTTGGCAAATATAAAATTACAGACAGTAATATAGTTGTTCTGATTTTTGGGGACACAGCTCAAACAACATACTTTTTGGTAGCTATATTTGAGATGTCTCATTTCTAATTTAGGCATTGTAAGAAGTCATTACATAGGGACAAATCTCCCTCTAGCTTTCTTTTAAGGCTCTTGATATCTTCAACTCTCTAGAGCAAGTGTATGTAGTGCATCTCTCTGTGGTACCCTGGTGCATTTTGCATTTATCAAGGAAAAGGGAATTTTCAAACAGAATTGTTTCCCTAATGCATTGCCCTCTCTGCCAATTGAACTATAATTTGTATCATACAATTCTTTCTTACCTTAAAAAATCACTACCAGGAAAGAGAGGGAATAATAACAATAACATAAATAAAATGTCAGCACCATGTGATTAATACACTCCAAACATAAAACACAGTGATGACTTTTTACACAGTGAATTAATTATCTTAATGATAAAGGTGTTTAATATTTTTTGCAATAGCTGCACATTTTCAGAAAGGAAGATCAATCACAAAATGTGACATCTCTACATAGATCACCTGCTCCAGGTGCTAAAAGGATGTTAGATTTCACAGAAAACACCCAGGAATGCATCCATGATGCCACTTCCTAGGTCACCCATAACCCTCAAAACAGCCTTTGTGCTCAGCAAAAACATGTTTATGTAGAAGGAGTTAGATGGAAGGGAGAAGAAAACAAATCTGAATACCCTGTCCCAACAACAATGTGACTATCAGCAGAAGTGAATCTTCAAGGTTAATGTGAAGAAGGCTTTACATTAATAATTAAATAAGAATTAAAAATAATTAATATTTTTCTGACCCTCTCCTCCTCAAAATTGGCTATCAAAAAGGGAAGAGGCATATTTTTAAAATTCAGAATCTTTTTATGAAAAATGGCTTTCATTTAGTAGCAACTCTGATGAGGGCAGAAGACTGGAAAAAAGGACAAAAGTAATTGCACTGTTTTTGTACTCTTTGATGGACATTTTTAGGCTAAGAATACGTTGCTCTGGTAGAAACGGAAATAGTGCCTGAATGTATAATTTGATACAAATCAATGAAATTAAATTCTTAAATATGTTTCTTAAGAACATATACATTGTCTTGTATTTGTTAAATCGTTGTTGTGCGCCTTCAAATATTTTCTGACTTATGGTGATCTAAAGGTGACCCTATTATGGAATTTTCTTGGTTCCTTTTGTCTTCTTCATGCTGAGAAAGTGTGACTGGCTCAAGGTAACCCAATGGACTCTGTAGCTAAGTGGGGATGTGCCCTGGTCTCCAGAGTCACAATTCAATGCTCAAACCACCACGGTGGCTGTTTTTGTCCAATAGTGACTAAGATTTTTCCAGCCCTCTCAGTGGAGTGCAAACAGCTTTCTAAAAGATAGAATGGGTTGTTGGAATGAACATAGAGAATAGAAAGAATGAATTAACATCCAGAAACAAGAATAATTATATAAAGCCTATGTAGGACAAACCATGTATAAATCTTGTCTGTTTAAATCAGGGTAGAAATCATATAGCTTTCCAGATGTTGGTGAATCTCCAGCACTCTTTAGCATTAGTGGATCTTGTTGAGACTTTTGGGGCCTGTAGTCAAACAACATCTGGAATACTCCATAATTCCAACTCCTCATCTGAACTAGATGGTTAACTAGTGTGGTGGAGGCTTTTAAACAGAGGCTGGATGGCCATCTGTTGGGGGTGCTTTGAATGCAATTTTCCTGCTTCTTGGCAGGGGGTTGGATTGGATGGCCCATGAGGTCTCTTCCAATTCTATGATTCTATGATTGAAACCCTTATAATGGCAACATTTTATCAAAAGATTTTATTAGGATTAGTTTCACTTCCATAGCAAATTTCCCCCCAAAGCACATTAAATAAATTTCTCATAACTTGTCAATGTTTTTCAAAGGGCTTAATCATCACTTGCATATTGTTCTACAACAGTTGATTGGCAGCTTTGGAGTTTACCAATTTTTAGCAATAAACATCAAACTGCTTTTGAAGGTCCCTGAAAGTTTTAAAAAAGCAACATAAGCATATGGCAAAAAGAGGCTGCAGAAAGACAGAAGTCAGTCTTATGATTCTTGGGACAGAGGCTATAAGTCCTCTGCTTTTCATGAGCATTGTACCTATTTTCTCTTTTCCAATACATCAATCAGCATCACCATAAGAATCAGATTCAATAATAATTAGAAGCTGTTTTGTCTTGTCACATTGAAGGATATTAAGTTCAAAGGCTTGGTCTTGTTATAAATAGTCTTGTATTGTTTAACTGCCAGCTGTTCTACCTATCAGATCTCAAGCAGGTCTTCTCCACTTTCGTCACTCTCAACAGTTAGTTGCCTTGTCCACCATTTCTTCACTTCTGATCCACAAGAAGCCACGTCCGACATGGGATTCATCTTGCACACAACAGACTTCATAGTTGTTCGGCTGCCAAACCGTAAATTCACTGAAGACACCGAATGGCTTATTGGCTTTGGAGCTAAGATATTGAATAGAAAACACTTTAAATACCTCAAACATGCTTGATTCAGGCTCAATAATCCTATGGGGGCTGTCCAATGATGGCAGAAATACATGGCATAGGGAGTGCTGCTTTCTAAGCTCTGCCAATTATCACTAGCAAAAGTGGGAAGTTTAAGGTTAGGGTGATGGAGATGCCATTCTCCTTTCTGGCAGTTCTGTTTTGTATTTTTGTATTTTTTTCAACAACATGAATGGAAAGGAAGAATCACCATTACAGTACAATGTTGGCATAGATTATAGATCCCTATTGGGGGCTATCAGTACAATTGTCTGTTTCTGATATATCCCTTCATTGTTTTGATGGCAGTAAAATTATGCCTATAGAGTGTTTGCTAGTGTGTCTGTGCCGCTATGGGAATCATCAAGAGACACAGAGATGCTTTCTGACAGAGCTTCCTCCCCATTTTCGTTCAACAGCACTTCTTCTATCTCCCAACCTTCAGCTATAGGACTGTGCTGTGACTCACTTACCTTTCTCACTCTGTAATAGTGAAGGTGATTTCACTTGAACTAGAGCAGTGGTTCTCAACCTGGGGTCCCCAGATGTTTTTGGCCTACAACTCCCAGAAATGCCAGCCAGTTTAGCAGCTGTTAGGATTTCTGGGAGTTGAAGGCAAAAAACATCTGGGGACCCCAGGTTGAGAACCACTGAACTAGAGGTTCCTCCTTCCCTTGCAATGTTACAGTGGCATACTGCTTATTGGTAGAACACTATTACAGGCTATAGGAATATGTCTGACATCTACTGTATAGCAATGAAAGAAGGGAACTGCCTGTGCTTTCATTCAAGGCACCCTCAAAGGCATCCAGGACCTGGAAGGGTATAGCTGCAGAGTAAAGTTGTCTGGCTACCACTATCCTTCTGAGGCAAAGCCTTCTTGGACAACACTCAAGAAAAAACTTATGCTGTCTTAAGTCACTAACACTGTGTCTAGCATGACACTGGCATTTACTTTCAGCCCAAGTTTAACTTTAAAGGCATGAATGACACAGATAATTATGCCCATGCAATACAAAAAACAAAGATTTCTACAGAACTAGGATTGCAAATCCTCTCATTGCTTTTCCACTTGGCACACACACATTTAGCCCCCAGTTCATTTGTAAGACAGTAAACTTAAAATAGTTATTTATGCCTGTAATGAAAACTGTCAAAATATTATTGTCTGAGAATTTTATTTGAATAGAACACATCTTAATTCCATTAAAAATATTAATGTTTTTGTCAGGGCACAGTTCTGTCCAACAGAATTCTGCTGGGCTGTGAAAGTGTGTGTGTGTGAGACACAAGTATGGTAATTCTAAAGAAATAAATTGATCTTCACTATGTTTGGGATTGCATTCTTTTTTATTTATCATCAAAGAAAAACAGCTGCCAAAAACATTTTGTTTTTGTTTCTCAGTCAGCCATAGATAGAGGTGTTCCTTCAGTTATGGAGATCCCAATTCATCTAGGACTTTAAATGTCGTAATCAGAACCGTTCTCTTTGGATACATACTCTAGTACCCAATTGAATTCCAGAATTGTATTGTTTAATAGGAGTATTGGTCTATTGGCACTCACTTTGTAGAACACAGTCTTCACCTACCTGATGGTAAACGCCATTGTCCAAATTTTCGCTGAGGTTTTCCAGCTTCAGTAGAGTCTTGACGATATCCACCTCTGTCAGAAAGTGTTGGACTAAGAAGCTGTTGTTGACTACTTGTCTGAATAGAGGAAGTGAGAGGGAGAGAGATTGAGAATGCAATACATTGAGACATCATCATCATCATCATCATCATCATCATCATGTTTATTTATACTCCGCTTTTTCTCTCCATGAAAGGATTTTAAGTGCATAGTATTTAGAACTAGATAAAACAAGCAAAAATACCTTTTCATTCCTGACTAACATGTTGTTGAATGTTAGTCACTAAAACTATCATATTAATAAATGCAAGGAAGATTTTAAGACTCATTCCAATGCACAAAAGTCTTTTTATTCAGCCCCAATTTCTTCCTCATCCCCAATCTAATTGGAATGTTTCTAGCAGCATCACTATTGGAAAAGTGTTGGAGAGATGGAGGGACACAGACTTTTGGTACTGCATTCTAGTAATGCGTCTACAGTAAACAATACAATAAAGTTTGAATTGGGGAAAAAGGAGACTGTGTTTGCCTACAACAGTTATGGTAAACAGCAACTGCTTCCAGAAGAAAAACGACATGTCTGCCTTGGGAGATACCCCACGGATGTTAAAGAAGCATAGATTTATAAGTCTGGTAACTACAATTCAAATTAAGAGAAAAGTGGAGGCTGGTGGGAAAAAAAGAAATCACTGGACAACATTTGGAAGCAGCCTTTAAGTAATCTCTAGAAATATATTTTTATTACTTACACAAAACTTACCTGAATTGGTTGTTTTATTCCAGATGGGCACACTGTTAGTTTTGAATATAGTAAACAATTTGCTTAAACAAGTTAAGCTGCTCTTTGTTGTGGTATAGGAGCCCATTTCTATTCTGCCCATGTTATTTCTGCCTCTGGTAACACATTTGTTTAATTAAAGAAGCAATGCCCAGGAGCACATCTATTTTGTTAACTGCCATATAATCCAGTTCAATGCAGTTAATCTTCATTCTGAAGCTGGATTATATGACAGTGTAGATCAAATCTGAGTTTACTTATTAGGGCAACAAAAGAGGCCCATCTCAGTGATAACTTTTGAAAGCAAACTTTTTCATAAAAATATGCTGAGGTGGACTGAAAGATAGGAAATGAGGATATTAGAATAGCTGACTTGTTCTCAGACAGTTTGAGGAAGAGCATGCAGATTGCCTCTGCCATTAACCTCAATTGGCCCTTTGCTGCCATATATAGAAGAAAAACAATTTTAAAATGGCAGTAAAATTTAGTTCTCCATCTTAAAATACAAAATATCTTCTTGAAACCATCACATAGTATAGCATAATATAGATTGTTGGGTCACTTTATTTTTCCAGGGCACTGGATGTATAAAAATTGACAAAACAGTGCAACAAAACTCAGGGAAGAAAACTCAAGTTCCCAGGATGATATTCTTTTTTTAAAAAAATTTAATAAATTTTATTTCAAAAAGATAATACACCAACCATATACGTTGCAAAAATATACACATACACAAACAAACACACATACACAAACAACCCACCATACAGTTACCCCTCCACCCACCCCCAGTGCTACCCACCACCTTGACTTCCGTCACTAATCCACGCAGGACTTATGCACAACTTATTTAACCCTCTATACTTCTAATTCAATAAATTCCTCTTGTTTTTATTTCTTTGGCTCTCCCGTCAAGTATGCTAAGATCTGTGCATAGTCCCACAGTTTATCCTTCCAATCTTTGATGCTTAATGTTTTCTCCCCTTTCCAATCTTTGGCAATTGTAATGCGTGCAGCCGCAAAGCTGTACAAACAAATTTCTCTCTCTGGTTGTTCTAATCTATCTCTGAATATCTCATAGGCACATCCCTGGGTTCTTTTTTACTTTGTTGTAAATCATTTTATTTGTTTCCTTTACTACTCTTTTCCAATAGACCTGCACCAGTTCGCACGACCACCAGACATGAAAGAAAGTCCCTTTCTTTGTTTTGCACCTCCAACAGGAACCTGTTTGTGAGTTGTCCATTTTGGCTAGGAGGGCTGGGGTTATGTAGCATCTATAGAACATTTTATATACATTATCTCTAATTGAAGCTGCCACTGTAAATTTACATCCATTGTTCCACAGGTTTTCCCAGATGTCGAAATCTATGCTTCTCCCTAAATCTTTTGCCCATGAGATCATGGGGGTTTTAACACGATTATCTTCCAAATTATAGTGTAGAATATATTTGTATAATCTGGCTATTAAGCCTTTTTCCCCTTTATCTAATATAGTTTCCAGATCTGATTTTTTGGAAGCAAATCCCCTCTTCTCGTCTTTTTTAAATCTTTCGTATAATTGATGATATCGGAACCAATCTTTAATACCCAATTCGTCTTTCCCCCTCAATGCCCATTGGCCATTGGACCTGATAAGTAGTTCCCCATATGTTCTGACATCGTCCTTGCAGATAGGTCTCCCAATGGCTTCTATTGGCCTCAGCCACAGGGGTGTTTTGGGTTCCATCCCTAATTTGTATCTTTTCCAAACATCTATTAAGCTTCCCCTAATTACATGTTTATTGAAAGCCTTATTTAATCTCTCTCCTTCATACCAAAGGTATGCATGCCATCCATATCTGATTCCATGTCCTTCTAAATTTAGTAAATTTATGTTCCGGAATTGTATCCAATCTCTGAGCCAGCTCATGCAGGCGGCCTCATAGTAGGTTTTTAAATCTGGTAAATTTAGTCCCCCCCTCTCTTTGGTATCAATCAAATTTTTGTAAGCGATCCTAGCTTTTTTCCCTGCCCAAATGAAATTCATGATATCCCTCTTCCACAAATTGAAGATTTTAGTCCCTTTAATAATAGGTATGCTTTGAAAAAAGAAAAGCATTTTGGGGAGTATCATCATCTTAATAATTGCAATCCTGCCCAGCCATGTTAATGGTAGCTTCTGCCAATTGTTCAAATTTCCTTTAATCTCCGACCACGTCTTCACATAATTATTTTGAAACAAGTCTATGTTCTTGCTTGTGATAGTTATTCCCAAATATTTTATCTTCGGGACTACTTTACAATTAGCCACTTCCTCTAATTTCCTAATAATTTTAGTGTCTAATTTTTTTGTAATAAATTTAGATTTATCTTTATTTATTTTAAAACCCGAAACCTCTCCATACAATTTGATTACCTCTAATAATTTTGGAACACTCTGTGTTGGATTAGATAAAATACAAACCATATCGTCTGCATATGTTCTGATTTTGATTTCCTGGCCTTTTACTTTGAACCCTTCAATTTCATTGTCATCTCTAATTCTTATACTCAAAATTTCCAATCCCAAAATGAATAGTAATGGCGAAAGTGGACAGCCTTGTCTAGTCCCTTTCTGTATATCTATGGCTTTTGTCAGCTGTCCATTTATTTTTATCTTAGCAGATTGCTTAGAATATATTGCCCCCACTGCTTTTCTAAAGCGATGGCCCACCCCAAATAAATCCAAGACCTTTTCCAAATAAACCCAGCTGACCTGGTCGAAAGCTTTTTCCGCATCCAAAAAAAACCCAATGCTAAATCTTTATTGGGGTCGCTCTCTGCTACCTCCAAAACATTCAGAATTGTTCTGACATTTTGGCTCAGGTATCTATTAGGTAGAAATCCCGCTTGATCCTTATGAATGATCTCTGCTAATGTCTGTTTGAATCTGTTTGCCAAGATTGTAGTAAATAATTTATAGTCACAATTTAGAAGCAAGATGGGTCTGTAAGTTTTAATTTGGTCCAGGTCTTTAGCTGATTTTGGGATTAGTACAATTGTGGATTTTTTCCAAGAATCTGGAATCTCACCTTTTTCCAAGACTTTATTCATTACAGACACCAGTAATGGTGTCAGCTCTTCTTTAAACATTTTATAATAAAGTGGGGAAAGACCATCTGGGCCAGGAGCTTTATGTGGCCTAATCTTATCTATTGTTTCCATTAGTTCGTCTGGTGTAATTCATCTATCTAGATTAGTTTTCATTGCTTCGGTTAATCTTACAATCTAAGTTTCATTAACAAATTAAATGGTCTTGTCTAAATCTTCCTGTTCTTTTTTATAGAGCTTTGAGTAGTATTTTTCAAAAATTGTCTGGATTTGCTGCAAGTTTGTAATTGTCTCACCATTGTTTCTTATTCTGGTAATCAGTTGGGATTTCTTTGTACCTTTCAGCTGCCAGGCAAGAAATTTGCCTGGCTTGTTTGCATTCTCAAAAAAGTTATACCTATTGTACCTGATTTTCCTCTCAATATCATTAGCAATCAACAGATCGTAATGCTGATGTAGGTTTTTCAATTCTGCCAGAATTTCCTTTCGCTGCCCTCTTTTCCTTTCCAGCTCTATTTCCTTTCCTCTAATCTTGACTAATAACTCTAGTTGCTTTTTATTATTACCTTTGTACCAAATTGAATTTTGCTGAATTAATACCCCTCTTATTACGGCTTTCCCGGCCTCCCAGACCACCCTATCCTCTAGGTTATCATTGGTGTTGTCTTTCAGGTAGTATTTTAATTCCTTTCCAATTTTATCTCTATGTGTTTGTATCCTCAGAATATAATCGTTCATTCTCCATCCCCCCCTGTTGCTATTTTCTTTTCTTAGTTTCAATAGAATCGGATTATGGTCTGCAAATGTTCTTGCTAGGATCTCTATCTTTTCTGTTCTGCAGATGATGTCTTTTGTACCAAATACCATATCAATTCTGGAGGCTGATCTGTGTCTATGGGAGTAGTATGTAAATTCTCTCCCAGTTGGATTGAGAGTTCTCCAAATATCAAACATATCCCATTGATGTATTTCTTTCAAAAAAGAACCCGGTAATCTGCCTTCTTTCTTGTCTTTTTTTATTCTCCTATCTAACTTTGTATCCATAACCCCATTGAAGTCACCTAGCCAAATCATATCTTTTTCACCATATTCTGCAAGTATACCCGCAAGTGTCTTGTAAAATTCGCTTTGTTTGGTATTGGGGGCATAGATACCTACTATGAGAACTGATTTACCCTGGATGAGAACTTTGATTATAAGAATCCTGCCCTCCTTATCTGAGAAAATTACTTCAGGGTACAGCATTTTCTTAATATATATTGCAATCCCATTGGTTTTCTTACAATTACAAGAGGTGAATAACTGGCCCAGTCTTTCTTGCTCCAATAGGTGAATATCCTTTTCTACCATGTGGGATTCCACTAAACAAGCTATATCAGGCTTAATCTTCTTCAAGAAATAAAATACTTTCTTGCGCTTTGACCCACTGTTTAAGCCATTCGTATTCCAAACAATAGTATTCAGAGATTTGGTGCCCATTTTAACAGTGCATTTCATAATTACCCTGCTTCTCCCCGCCCCCTCCCCCCGTCTCCCCCTTAGATAAACTTAATGTCTATACATATATAACTTTCTCAGACAGAGTCCACTGCTACCCAACTTCTTTCTCTTCTTCTTCCTCTTCTTCTGGAGCAGCTGGCGTTTCTTTCTCCTCCTCCTGCTCCGGCTCCTTCTCTTCTTCTGTATGGAACTGATGGTTTTGTCCCAAGTTCTCTTTCTTATTTCTGCCATGTCCTTGTCTTTTTTGTCTTTCTTCTTCCTGCTGGGAGTCTTCTTCAGCGTCAAAGTCCTTATGGTATTTTCTTAAGAACTGCTCAGCCTTCATGGTATCAGAAATAGAATGTCTCTTAGTTTTGTAGTAAAAGGCCACTCCTTGAGGGTAGAGCCATCGAAAGGATATCTTCTTCTGTTTGAGTTTGCTCACTAGAAAAGCAAAGTCTTTCCTTTTTTTCAAGAATCTTCCAGGGATCTCTTTTAGCATCAATATTTTCTTTCCCCCTATTATAATGGGGGATTCATATTGTTTCTTCAAAATAATATCTTTGCATATTGTTGTGACAAATTGCACAATACAGTCCCTGGGGAGTTTCTTTTGTTTTGCTATTGCAGAACTCACTCTGTAACATGCAGATATGGAATCCATCATCACTGAGAGGTCATCCTCCCCCAGAAGTTTTGCCAACAATTTACTTATAAACAACTTCAGATTGTCACCTTCTTCCCCCTCTTGGATCCCTCTTAATCTTAGAGTGTTATCAGCAAGTTTGAGTTCTAGCATGGCCATGTTATCCAACATACTTTCTTGCTTATCATTAAAGAGTTGTTGAGCCCCTTCTGCTTTTTCAAGCCTTTTTTAAATAAGTTTCTGATCAGTGTCCAGTTTATTCACTTTTGCCTCAGTCTTTTCTTGACGTTCAGAAATCAGTTTCAGTTCATTGGTAACTGCCTCCATTGAGGTCTTAAGTTCCACAAACATAGCTTTAATTTCTGAAAGCGTCTTCTCTTGAGACTGACTTGGTTTTTTTGCTTTCTCTGTTACCACTGTTGACGCTGCTGACGCGTAGGAGGAGATTGGGCCCTTTGGCGTTCGCGGTGACCCTTTATCCATAATTGGTTGTAGATTATGAGTGTTTGTTAAAGGTCGCTGCAGCAGTATTATCTGCCTGAGAGAGATGGAGACGTGCTTGAAGGGGCGGAAAAGAAGCCGGGTTCAGCCCACCATCTTTTTCAGTTGCATTTCAAGCATTTAAATCATCTTGCCATTTTTTAAGAGAAGAAATCAAAGCTCTGTCTCCTTTCTGGCCTTTTAAGGGTTTGCTGTCTCCTATCAGCCACAGAACAAGGTTTCAAAGATTACTGTTGTAGCAAACAGCTTAATGGCTCTTACTGGGAGACAATTAAGGCAATTAAGGATCGTAAACTTTACAAGCAGGAATGTAAAGACAGACTTTGACAGGTTTCATCCGTGAGAACACCACGTGGATAGTGTACTTTAAAAAGCAAATATTGCAGTCTTACTTGAATCTGTTGAATGTATTGGATGTTGAGAGCGTAGCAAAGAGGACAATATCGCGGCGGGAGCTGTCTCCACTTTAAAATCAAAGTGATTTTCTGCAGACCAACTCTCCTTTCTCTGTCTCGCCCAGAGATAAGGAATCTGTGAGGAAAAGTTGCTTTCTCCTCTCACCGCTCACGATTCTTCACGGAGCTCTGTCTCCATGCTGCTGCCTCTCTCCGCTCCCAACCCGGAAGCCCAGGATGATATTCTTCACACTGTACCACCTGAAGAACAGGTGTAGGCTCTGCTCGTTTTGACGTGTGCTCTAAATTGTGTGTGGGAGAGTGCACTCCACTGCTGATAATGTCCAGGACTGTGTTTACACCAGATGAAATAATCAGGAGTAGTTTGCTCCAGAGCTGCCCAGGATACACTACAGGAGTATTCTGAAGCTGTTTTGCAGTCCAGGCAGTCATTTGGGCATTCAGCGCATCAGGACCAGTGTTCTGCCCTTGTTGTGACTGCTGTTGCCATTTTTGCAACCAAAGTCAGCTATTTGGCAGAAAGCTTGGTAGGGACACCACTGCTGGTGAGGTCACAATACAATCCTCAGTCATGTGATCAGTAGAAGCAACATCCCCAACAAGATTCTGCAGGAAGCTTCTTTTGATCTGCAACAAGCAGTGTTTTTTTTTAAGACGTGCAGACTGGATGGCCCCGAAGGCAAGCTGATCCAGCTGTCCACACATCAAAATGTAACTGCAGGTCACTTAGGAATTTCCTGTAAACTCTGGAGTAACCAGGGTTCTTCTTGTGACAGATCAAAAGCTGTACTGTATGTTGTCTGGACTGCTCACAGTGGCTCAAAGCGATAACTTTTTTATTTGGCATGTGTAGAGAAAAGATAGGTCAAATTCTAGAATGTTATAAAGATGTAATGCAAAGGCATGTATTTTTCCACACTGTATGCCTTCCACACTGTAGTGATCATTTTTAAACCTTCCAAATGACAGGCTTAGATCAACATTTTGCGAATAAGAGCTTGAAGAAAACTATACCTCTGGTTGTGTATTATCTTGGTTGTTAGCATTCATATCCTCACTTGGTTGTGTTGTCTCAATGCTTGGTGGGTTTAGGAAACGACTAAGTTCTTGTTGTTGACTCTCTCTGAGGCTGTGAATGATGCTGCATGACTGTTGTTGTTTCTATAAAAATACAGTTTAACATGCAATGTTTAAAGCTTACAGTGTTATTAACAAACATTGTATTTTATTTAAAAGCAGCCTTTAAATCTTGAAATGCACTGCTATTTGCTTTGATATGCATTTTCTTTAATTTGGAACATTAAACGATAGATTCCCCCCCCCCCCCCTGCTTTTACTTTCATATAGCTACAGATACAATTGAATTTTATTTTGAATTGCCTTATGGAACTATCCAAAAAGACATTTAAATGAAACAGGGTAGTTAAAAGAAGTCAGCTCATTCAGAGACTACTAAAATAAATTGGTTTCAGATATTTTTAAATTAGACACTAGATAAAATTAACAAAATGATAATGAAGACTCTCTCAGAAAACTATAAACGGTGACTTTCATGTCATGCTGCTTTTATGGTTCAATGACGTTGTTTCTAAACAAGTTGCTAAAGTGACCTACCAAAATTATAAATATATGCCATGTTAGCTGAAATATTAAGCTTGTGAATATGATGTGCCACCTGTATGCAGTATTATTATAGAGCTTAAATCAAGTAGTTCTTTTTTTTTTTGAGACGGGCAAACCAATCTTCATTACATCTATATCTTGCTTATCCTACAAAGAGATGACTATCGTATATATGGTCCTTTCCCCAAATGTTATCCTCATGGCAATCTTGTGATGTAGGTCCCCAATGAATTTATGGTTTAATGAAGATTTGAACCCATTTCTCTTTAGTTCTAACCACTACCCCATTTTCAGCTTCCATTAATACATTACTGGAAAAATTCTCAACTCCTCTCATGATTGGATAATCTGTCTTACCCAATGGGGGATAAAATATTATTTTTAATATTCAACCAGAAGAAAATAATGTCATAGAATGAGGGCCATTAAAAGGCAAGCTAAAATTGTGGTAGGGTTGGTATTCATTTATAATACCATGAGACATGCAAACTGGTTTAGAGTTCTGTGGCTCTCATTCCCCACTTTCCAAAATTACTATGATCACTAATCTCTTTACTCACTTTCCTTTGTCACCTCCATTATTGTCAAAATCTAGATGGTGAATGTACTGAAATCAATACCGATATTTTTGATAATGTATATTGCAAAATTTATAACCATAGACTACATAAAGAAATAAACATTAATACCTATAAAACATTTGTGTTTTAATAACTCAATGCTTGAGGAAGTTAAGCATTGAGTTCTTGGTGGCATGCTTCATCATTTTCTATTTTTTTCCTTGTTAAAACTTACTGCTCTAATGCGCTTCAAGCACTTTTTCAACCACATGCGTATGGTCTGTTTGGCCACTTCTTCTTCTATAGTGTATTCCAATTGTTCTCTAGCAAGCAATTCTTCTAGCTGAAGACTTTTTCTGATGTCAACAGATCTATAGGAAAGCATGCTGTGAAAAAAATTATAACCATTATCATCATCAGAAGAAAGAAGAGGATTAAGAGGAAGTGAGAGACATTATGACTAATTCATTTTTAAAAATAATTATAATAGTTGATGTATCACACACTTCCGTAGGATAGTGGATACTTATTTTGCTCTTAAAAGCTTGGAATTTGCAGGTAATTATATAGTGAAAAGAAGTAGAAAATTCTACACTCACCCCATTAGAGGGAGCTATCATCTGACTGTTGAGGAATTACATGATGATTATAGGAGTGAGAACTAGCCCTCAATGTATGTTAAGAAAAATAATAGCTACGGAGGGAAATGAATGAAAATGTTCTACCATCCCTCTTAGTGTATGTCTATATCACAATTCTATTTTGTCATGTTGTTAGAATACTGGAATGGAAACTATAATTGATTCAGAGCCCAATTCTTCTATATGCCTAGTCAAAGTAAAGTGTGGTTGCTACGTAAGGCTTATTGCCAGGTAATTGTAGGCTGAAGTGCATCATTTATTACAAAGACAAGTATACCTCAGCACATCATGGAATGTTACATCTCCACCATTATGCAGCCTCTCCATTTCATAGCACATGTGCTTGAACAGAAGTTTGTCCTTGTCCAGGTCCACTTCCAACCTCCCACGCAGTAACCTCAGCAAAAACTTGATTCGGAAAGTAGGAATAACTCCCTAGGAGAAAAATAGAGCCTAACTACCCAAAAGATAGATTTGGATCATTAAGCAGTATGCTGGACTGTAGCCAAGGCTTACAGGGTCAATGTGCAGGGACATTTTCATTATCAGGGTCCATTCCCCCCTCCCAACATTTTTCTGCTCTCTCCTCTTTACAGTTGCTGGGAGGAAAGGGACTTTTCTTAGTGGAAAATAATTTGTGAGCAATCCCTGCTGTGATGCAAACTATTCTGGAATGGTTTCATCTTGAATGAGAGCATGCAATCTATTGCAAAGGAGCTGCTCTGAGCTGGAATGAGAACAACTCTTTTCTGAATATGGATCAAGATCGGTGGTGGTATTTTTTAACTCTTTTGGGAGGACTTACTATGGGGATCATCACAATAGGTACCCACACTTCAAAATACTAGTAATTAATTGGATTTTAATTGGCGTGTTTTAATCAATTGTTTAACTGACTGTTTTTAATTAATTGTTTCTTAATTAACTGTTTTAATTAATTGTTTAATGTTTTTAATGGTACTGTTGAATGTTTATGGTGCTTGCTGTGAGGCCGCCCTAATTTCCCCCTGGGGGTGAGAAGGGCGGGTTACAAATGCAGGAAACAAAATAAATAAATAAATAAACAAACAAACAAATAATTAAATGTTTTTAAACACATGATTAAGCAACACAGCAGTTCTAATCCTAAAAGTAACTGATGTTGGAAGACCTCATGTTACCATATTTACTCAAATCTAATGCTCATCTTTTTGGCCTAAATTACTCTGCCAAAATTGAGGTGTGCATTAGATTCAATTGCACAGCAGAATCATGCACATAAATCCACTTACATGAAATGGCCTGGAGGAATCAGGAACTACAGGGGCCGGATATTGAGGTGAGTGGGCATGAAGATGCCATTCCCAGTGGCAGCAGCAGCCTCAGGGCTAGTTGGCACCCAGAGAAAGAGGAGTGCCCAGCTGGTGACCTTGTTGTTCCTGCCACTTAGCCATGAATTCTGTCTTCCAGGCAGCCCTTGGGGGCTCTCATCTGCCACCTGCTCCCCGGCTTAGTCCCATGTGGTTCTCAACTGACCTAATTCACGAGGTCTTCAAAACCTCCCTCTTGGGTTTGAAGGCCTTGTGAATGAGGCCAGTTGGGAATTGTGCAAGGTTTGTGAGTTTGCTAGTCTTGGCCTGAAGGAGGGGCATGGTTTCCCAGATGACTTCATCCATGCTGCCTGCCTCCCTGGTGTGCTATGCCTGGCACATTTCATTTGAGGGCAAATCTGTTTTTGATAACGTGCACCTTCAAAATTGAGGCGTGTATTATATTCAGCGGTGCATTACATTTGAGCATATAAGTATTTCCTATCTCTCTGTATGAACCCAGAGTTCACATAGTCCTTTGATGAACTTGGAATGCTGCATTTCTTTTCCTTTCTAACAGCTAACATACAACTCAATGGAACTTGTGAAATTATGGAAAAACCTCTTACCTCTCTTTTATCATCAACCATGTTCCATATAATTTGAAAATGTCTAAGATCATTATAACTTAAGAGCTGATCTTCCTCCGTTGAATAAAACAGTGAGAAATTTTCCACAATTATAGCTATAGGACACACAAACATTGAAAACCATATAAAAATGTAAACCATGATTGCATTAACAACAATACAAGAATGAAGAGCCACTCAGATTAAAGTTGACAGCAAATAAGCAATATGCCAATCTCATACTAAAGTTTTTTCAAAGTAATAGAAAAATAATTAATAATTCATATTATATTTAATGATATTTAAGCCATGTTAAAGATAAGTCAATATATTTCAACCTAAACGTAGAGGAAACCACATCACTCACAAAATATCAAAAGAACTCACACAAAAGAAGGACACATGTGAAGATACTGAAAATATTTTAAGGCCTTTTTCAAGGCATTAAAGATCGAAAGGACTCGGATGATATTTTTTGCCAATTGAAGTATGAAGAAATGTTGGACTACAACTCCCATTAGCTGTAGTAGCCAACACAGCCAGTGCTGAGAATAGTAGTTTCATTACATATGGAAAGCCTCATTAATGCCACCCATAGAGTTAATCTATGGGACCTAAGTATGGACTTCATCACATTCAGGTCCAAAATGCGGGTGACAGCATGGTGATTCACTGGGCAGTGTAGTGAATTCATGGGGCAGCCCTGTGCCCTGCATCAGCCGCATTGCCGCTTTCCCCGTCTCATGGGGGAAAGCATCGCTGCCTGGCTTCTCTCCATGCTGGCCCCATTCTAACTAATGAGAGCATAGGAAACCTCTTGTGTTCTCTGGGCTCTATCTTAGGACGCTTCTAGGACGGTGCCCTGCCAGAAGTAGCTTTGTGTCATATGAAGACTCCGGTGGGCTCAGGCGTGGCTCTGTCCTGGAAGCATCCTAGGATGGAGCCAGAAGTTAATGTGATGGGGTCCTTAGTCATGACTAACTGAAGTCCCATGGATTTTGTGGGCCTACTCTAAATATGATTAAATCTGGACCCAGTACATAATAAATACATATAATGCTGGTTTCAGTTGCCATATATTTTGACTAAAACTTACCCACAAGCAAATTTAACATGATGTATGCAATGATGACATAAAATGAACAGAAATACATAAGAGCACCAGCATAGTTCCCACAATCCGTCTTCCAGTATGTGCTGTTATCTGGAGTACAAAAAGGAGGCTGAACCTTCAAAGAAAAAAAATATTTTAAAAAACCAGATACATTTTGTAATGAAACTAATATATGCATATGTAAGCTCTTTTTTTTTAACCAATTGCCAAAATGAAATATTAGTGGCAATAACACAACAGAAAGAACAGCCATAACTGACATCACACTGATAGGTATGGGGGGACAATAGTGAGAGATGAATTCAGTAGGACAATGGCAGATCCACGAATCATTTCAAAACATAGACAGCAAAAGTGGTGTGGAGCTCCATTTTTATTATGGATCAGAGGACAGAACCTTCCTGATCTGACTACTACCACTAAACTTCCCATTGCTCTTCTTCTATTGTCCTTTGCCCAATCAATCATACTTTCAGTATCTGAAATAGATGTTTGGGAGGGAAGAAAAGTACATAGCAAATATAGAATACTAGCTAGCAGATCTGATGTGTAGGAATGTTTGGTATCTATAGCAGAGCAGAGTGCAGCTTAGCCAGTGCTATATATGATCTTATGGTAGGAAACAAGAGAGAAAATATGCAGGTACCTTTTTAAAAAGGTAGAAATAATACTTTATTAAATATACCAAGGTGGACAATGCTAGACCATCAGATAGTTTGTATTCCAGCTCCCATGGTACTTTATGATTGGGTCTGCTGCCAGGTCTAGTGCACATTGTAGTCCTCCATCACATTCTCAGCCTGGTATGTATCCTATCTATATATACATATTTTCCTACATGTAAGGGTGTGTGTATCTTTCTGTTTGTCTGACTTAAATTATGGCTCCTTTGAAAATCTTGTGCACAGTTTGAGAAAGGTACTTCTTTTTAAAAGTATCCTAGTTATGCTGGGAGATATACTCCAAAAATAACTTTTCCAAGTTCTGGATTCATTAGAAAGTTATATCTCCAAATGAATTATGTATTGGGTGAATAAGCTATTTATTTTAGCTTTGGTACACTTGCTGCTTGTCAATTTCTTTGGCCAACTATATATATATAGTTTTGTATACAGTGACCATGGCTGAGATTCTGTATTGCCTGGCAGAACGTAACGCTTCATTAGACACAGCTCTACTTCACCCCTTTATCTCCATGTTATACAGTCTAAGTTCTTCTCCATTGCCATGGTGGTGGTCAGAATACTATTCAGTATGGTTTCTGCAGACATACTAGTAAAGATGACATCATTCTTCCATCTCTCTGATGATGCAGAATGATGCCTGCTTCATTATGCAAAAAGCCACAGAAACACAAATGAGAGAATTATATAGTTGACTAGAGTTTCTATCCAGTAATATCTCAAGGGCACATCTCTCTTGCAACTTACTCAAGAAACAGAATACATATAGTCTGTAGGAAGAGTAGCAGACTTTATTAAAAGCACACTGTCATCAAAGCAACATGATTGGAAGATGTGGAGTGGCCCAGTGTTTGTGTTAGTTTTATAATTATGGTTACTTTACCATGCAGTCATGCATTATCTTGTTCCAATCTTCACCGGTGACAATTCGGAAGAGTACAGTAATGGCCTTACCAGCTGATGAAAAGTTGGCATGCCTGTTTTAAATAAACAACAACAACAACAACAACCAAAAGCTCATTTAGTGCTCCAAAAAGAAAATCTGACATAAAACTTTTATCTATGACCCTTGCACAGCACAATGTATTGACATTGTTTAGAATGAGAGGTTAAATTATACCCCCTGTATAGTACTCTTATTGTTATTCTCCCTGGTTGGCTAGGTATTTTTTCAAGTACACAGACCTCTATCTATGGACTCAGAGTGGCACAATATTTAACAGCATGTATTCAATATGTCCTTAACTAACACACGAACACAGATTCTGAAATCCTGGCACTCGATCCAGTTTCATGGAATCTCGATAACATTCTTGCTTTAAGGCAGTAAGAAAATAATTTCAAATACTTTCTAGTGGATTAGAAAAAGAAATATACCGATTGATGTTCTCGCCATATTTTACAGTGCCAAATAAAACTACTCCAGCAAAGGCATAGCAAAGCAATAGCAGGAACATTCCTACTATGATGAAAAAACTCTTGTACATGCTGACAACCACTGTCAATAGAAGCATCTTCAGGGTTACCTGGAAAGAAAGAAGGAAAACATGGGAAACACAACAAGCTACTTATATATCCTAACCATTTTTAATAATCTCAAAAATGTAAAATTATGATCTTTTTAATAAAAGAAGTGTTGAGCTTGACTCTGGAGCATCTGTGAAACAGAACATCTCCACCCATAAGGGATAACCTTCCATACTCAAGCTTGAGAGGTCCAATTAATATGAATTATTTTGTATAGGCCAACAAAGGAGGAATAATAAATTTCTGTAATGTTCCTGCAGATTAGAAAAATTAAGCTATAAAATACCTAAAAGTGTATTCCAAAAGTAACCTTTAAACAAAACTTCAGTTGTTAGAGAAAAAAATATTAGTGTTTCGATAGCATTGAGCCATGACAATTCTAGTGGTGTCAAACTGCACTAGTTCTACAGAGTACAGTGTTCCCTCACTTATCACAGGGGCTCAATTCCAGGACCACCCACAATAAGTAAAAATCCGGGTAAGGACGCCATATTAATTTAAATATTTATACATTATTTTATACATTTTATACATTATTTTCTTACCCATGCTTCCTTGCCCACCTTCTGGCCCATCCCAAGGGTGCCTGCCTGCCTCCCTTGCCTCCACAGACCCCGGCAGAGCTTCCAAAGCCATGCAGGCAGCAGCAGGCCAGGGAGGCAGGCCTTCCCCCCACCACACCTCAGGCTGCCACACTTCTGGGGTCTGTGGAGGCCAGGGAGGCAGGCCTTCCCTGCTGCGCTTCAGGCCACTGCACTTCTGGTGTCCCTGGCCTCCACTGGATGTAAATATTTTATATTAATATTTTCAAAAACCCGCGAAACAGCGAGTCCACTAAAAGCGAACCACGAAGTTGCGAGGGAACACTGTAATGCACTCTTGTGCAGCAACTGTTTTTCAAAGGCCCAGGGATGAAGGAAACCAGGATGAAATAAAGCAGAATGCATCTATGATGATCTTGATGATAGCAGACCAAGGATCAACGTGAGTAATGTGACATGGCTTGAGCGGATACTAGCAAAGACAAAATTACAGGCTACAGGCTACTCAAGGTGAAGGCTGGTGGAATCAAAGCAACAACTACATTGTCATATATGTACTCAGACTAATGTGATGTAAACCAGGTTAAGCCACTTAATGCAGCAGGATTCAGATCTTTCCCCACATTAAAACAGTGGTGACAGCCATCCAGATCCCCATGCCAAATCTAGGATTGCATCCCCACCAGGCATGTAGCCGGGGGAGGGGGGGGGCTTGAGGGGCTTCAACCCCCCCCCCAAATTCTCATGGTGGTTCACGAGAAGGCCTTACTGGTGCATTATTTAAACTGTTATGTTTATTCATATCATGATCTGATCACCATACTCAATATATCCCATAGGCATGGGGGTATTGGGGTAACGATACAAAAGGTTTGCTAGGGTAGACCTCTTTCACTCAGACTCAGCCCCCCCCAATCAAACTCAGCCCCCCCCCCCCGAATCAAAATCCTGGCTATGGGCCTGATCCCCACATACATCCTGCAGTTCCCAGACTCAGACAGTCTGGTGACGTACAATGGTAGTCCCTTTCTGCCCTCAGCACCCCAATTCCGTGCCCCAAAAAGCATGGAAAACTTCCCTTACTGGCACTGCCTCCTCTTTCCTTCCTACTTTTTCATCATCGAATGAGCTTAGCAGCTTCAGAGGAGGTCAGGGAACTCACTCCTTCCAAACTGCTTTGAAGGAAGAAACAGGAAGAGTTGAGCAGGCAGTGTCAGTAATTTCCTTGCTTTCGGAGAAGGAATGGGGGTGTGGATGGGGACTGGGACTGGAATACTTTCTTATGCCCAGCTCTGATAGAGTCCTGCCACCTAATGTGGCTAAGGAGACCCTTGTGTGGCCTTAATGGAGTTTTGGGCCATGTTATGTAACTATGTGGAAGGGCCTCAAAAGAATAAAGAATAAAAAAGACAGCCAAGCATTTGGTTGCACTATGAGAGGATTTGATATTGGCTGCTATGGATGCACATGCTAATAGTGTCATTGATTTCACTGCAGTACAGTATAACATATCAGGTGTAAAGCATGGAATTAAATCAAACAAAACAGTGAAAATATGGCATTGACAAAGCAATGAGCCAACATTTTTACTTACACATAACAAATATAAAATGTGAGATGTTTATGTTCCAATTTGTACTCACATGTTTTCCACAGATGGAGAAAAACCTGAAAACGATGACACATGCTCCCATCATGTATGTGTAGGCATTCTAGAACAAAAACACGAGAGTTGTTTCTCTTTAGCATTTCTTCTTATACAATAGCGTGGGAAAGTTGTACTTGAGTCATACAGATTATAATCAAGCTATAAGTACAGTTTTGATGGTGAATTCTAAACTCCACCGTATGCCTTATTTTTGTTTTGTGTATTTTGATACATATTTTATGGAGGTATGTTTTAATATGTGTATTTTATGGAGTGTTTTACAATGATTATGTGTTTATGTTTTAGCAATGCTGCAACCTGCCTCAAGCCATGAGGACAGACAGGCAAGAAATAAAACTATTATTATTATTATTATTATTATTATTATTATTATTATTTGAAACTCAACAAGATTAGTACACAGCAAACAAGATCACTGTGTTGTTGTATTGGATCACACGTCGGACACTTCCTAAGTGTCTAGGACTATGTGATGTATCGGCGGATAATGCGTGCAGATATTATTATTATTATTCTTGTTATTGTTATTGTTACTATTGTTGTTGTTGTTATTATTATTATTAGTAGTAGTATTAGTATTAGTAGTAATAGTAGCAACATTTTCTAAACAGTGGTTCTCAAACTTTTCTTCTTCAGGTATTTTAGGCTTCAACTACTATAACTGCTGATCATTAGGCATGTTAGTTGGTGCTTCTGCCAACTAAAGGGGAAAGAAAATCTGGCAGCTGAAATTTTGAATATTCCTGAAATAAATAGTTCAACTTCTAGAGATAAAGTTAGTCGCCACTTCATTATTCATATCTCATTCACACACAGAGGCTGAAAAATAGCAATATTTTAAAAGCATAAGGGAGACTTTAGGGCAACAGCAATGGCAGGATGAAACTCTTCCATGAAGCTCAACAGTTGTAGTTCTGAGGGGTGCTCTAATTTATTTAATCATAGCATTGACCATACTTAGAAAATTGATGACTGTATCTGATGTAGTCACTAAGAGTGCATAAAAGTTCAGGTTGCAATAAAATGGTTAGCTTCTAAGTTGACACAAGATTTTTTGTTGTTTTAATTTACTATTCTGCAATCCTAAGAATCCCAGGACACCATCATTTCTCCTTTTTGTAATCCTGTAATGCTTCAGCTATTTAGAGTTAATGTGATTCTGAATTACTGAGACTTGAGGTGCCCAAGATTATATTTTGTATGCTTCCTGATTATTATTATTATTATTATTATTATTATTATTATTATTATTATTAAACTTTATTTGTACCCCGCTAGCATCTCCCGAAGGATTCGATGCGGCTTACACAGGCCGAGGCCTCAACACACAACACAACAATACAATCTAAGCAAATCAAACAAAACAGAATAAAGCAAAATAAACAACAGGCACAATACAGTAAACACAATAAAACTGGGCCGGGCCAGAGCAATGGGTACAAGATTAAAAGTGCTGATGTGACAGGAGGTGTATAAAGGGCTTCTAGGGCAAGTGCGATGTGCGATGTGCAGCAATCATTGGTTCTGATAAAGTGCTATGGGACTTGGTAGTGGAGATTTCCTAATCTGGGAAGGCGCATCGGAAAAGCCAGGTCTTCAAGTTCTTTCTGAAGACAGCCAATGTAGGGGCCTGTCTAAGGTCTTTGGGGAGGGTGTTTCAGAGTCGGGGGGGCACCACGGAAAAGGCCCTGTCCCGCGTCCCCAACAAGCTCGCTTGCAACGCCGGTGGGATCACGAGCAGGGCCTCTCCAGATGACCGAAGTGAACGTGTGGGTTCGTAGATGGAAATGCGGTCACTGAATGATGCACTGAAAGGTTAAACATACAGTTTGTTGAAACTTACAGTGATGGCAAAGTGGAGGATTACCCATATGACACCCAAGGATGTCACCAAGAGATCATAGCGATTTCTTCTGCTTTGCCAAAAGCCAGCTGGTGACATAGCAATAATTTTCATGGTAACCTAGTAGAAATAAATAGATATTATTTAATTTTTCTGTGAAGTATTGTTCTATGCTCATCCCACAACTCACTTGATGTAAGAAAAATGATGTGATATTTGACATCTATCTATATCTATTAGTCATTTATGAATTTGATTACCAGTATATATTATTGTATATTTTCATTTCCTATAATCTATTACTTTACATTATTGTTTATATTTCAGATCAATGTAATATTTTGATTAAAAAGCAAAGCTTCTAAAATGTTTTGTTTTTGCATATAAGAGGTAAATAAATATTTGTGCAAAAACAAAACAAAACATGCAAAAATAAAACATTTTAGAACCTTCTAACATCAACATTTATAAATCTGTGACAGAAAGCAAAATAAGCTTATTTGCTAAACAACAGCAGCAACACACCAATAATAATGCATCTCCTTACCTCAAGAACAAAAATGAAGGTGAAGACAACAGACATGGCAGCTAAAGGACCGGTCACTGGGTCTTGATCATCCCACTAATATAAAAGATGAGAGAGTGCCTTATAACTGTTGCTTTACAAGAGTTTTATTCTTCGTCTTGTTCTGTTTATATATCAAGCACTAACATTGCTTGCTTTATAAAACAGTAGTCTCTATAAAAATACAACAGTATTGAGAGAATCATATCCTGCCTACTAAGGTGCACATTGCCATACCTTAACAGATAGCAACACAGATTGTGCCAGAACAAGAACAGCAATAGTTCTCTTGAAAAATGGGTGCTGTGTGATATCATACATCTTAGCTCGGAATCCATCATTATCTGGAACAAAAACAGATAAGAGCAATTCAATCAGCCACACAATTGTTGTGTTTCTGTCTCTATGCTCCAAAACTTTGTCTAGATTTTTGACAATATTTTATGACAAATTTAAATATAATTCCCAATCAACCCAACCTTTTGAGTTAATATGAGTATTTTTTGTATAACAATTTATAGTCCATCACATTATTGGATGCATTGCATACCACCTACTGACCATCTTAATACAATTAGAATCCTAACTTTCTGGAGAATAAACAACATTAATGCTCAGTGTAAATCAAAGTGAAATTGCCTCAGTACCTGGGCGAGGTGGAAGGTGAAGAGGTTGCGCTATCTTGAGTCTGCTCTTTAGATCTTCCCATCGCCTCTGGTCAACAGTCAGCAAAGCTGTTCCCTGAATAAATAAGAACCGCAGAACAACTGCATTTTATTGATTAATTGACTGAACAGATACAATCCATTCGATACTGAAGAGTTTGGAGTAGGTAACTTATAGTAATTTTCCTATTCCAAAAAGAATTGGTTGATTCAAGAAATTTTATGCCATATTCAATAGCTCCCTTGCATACTGAAAGGAATAATGGGGCTATGTTACTGGCCTTAAACTGGAAAGCTCTTTAAACCAACATCCATACATTGTGGGTGGATGACTCAAATCAGAAAGCCAACATGTATATTCCTCTGCATTCATAGGCATCCACAGAAATAGTAAACCTGCTTGAGCACTTGGAGCCTAACAGATTTCTCAGGGGTCGGGATTTCATAACTTGGCTATTTTTGTCTGCCTTAGTTCAGAAGGTGGAAGGAAGCAAAGAACATCCTCAGCTGTTGACTTAAGATAGCAAGCAAACTCATATGGCAGAAGATAGACCACAAGAACCCAAGATATTTATACTTTCAAAGGTGATACCATAAATCCAAATTCGACCAGGAGTCAAATAAAGAGTCAATACATTTGGTGTAACAGCAATCATGCCAAGTTTGGAAAACTTTGTTTTTGGATTACTGCCCTCAGAATATTCCAGTCATTGTGATTAATGGACATGCTGTCTATTGAGTTAATAGTCTCAAACAGTAACATTTCTCAGGGTTAGCTTTATGTGATGAAGTTGCAGGCAGTTGATTCCAGTTAACTATGTGAATAGACATATTAACACGCCAAACAGTCATATATAAACGATAATGTGCTAATACATATTTTAAAAAGACAAAACTGATATTTTTGTTATGTATACAACAAAAACAGTGACCTCAATGCTAGGGGGAAAAAACCCAAGCAGTGCTGTATAATTTTACTTGATGCTTTACACAAAAGCAAGCCACTAAAAATTATGATGTCAGACTCAAACAGACAAACCAGGATGTGAACCTCCAATCAGTCTTGAAAACCCACAATATGACCTTGGCCAAGTCACACTGTTTAAGCTTCAGAGGAAGGCAATGGCAAATCCTCTCTGAACAAATATTGTCAAGAAATTCCTGTGATAGGCTTGCTCTAGAGATGCCATAAGCTGGAAATGATTTGAAGGACCATACAACAGACTATGATCTTGTCACATGGCCACTGGCATCACTCTGCTTTGTTGGGAGGCATGGGGAATCTGGCACCACACAACCGCATCGCTTGGATCCAAGTGAGGGTGATCACATGGGGAGAAGCATGGAGCACTTGTGGAGCACGTAGCTTCCCCCCATTGATTCTATTGAAACCTTACTGTCACATGCCCATTCTACACTGCCATATAAAATCCAGAGTATGAGTTCAAAACAAATAATGTGGATTATCTGCCTTGATAATCTGGATTATATGGTAATGTAGAACAGGCCTTGGTTGAAGCTTCTGAACACATTTCAGAGTAATCAGATGAACCTCACCAGGAAGGGAAAATACCAGACCAGCTTAAGATGGCAAAAAAGGTTCCTGACCTTCTCTATGGCTACAACCTTGTATTTTATCTACATCACCACACTTAAATGATGCAATGTAATAAAAATATAATTTCAAGAGAAATAGAAACCCTGTACTGTTACCTTATTTTCATTGAAATTGGCAATGACAACTCCAACGAAAAGGGTTAGTCCAATCATACAGCCCAGGAACACAAAAACATGAATATAGATGCCATGGATCTGCAAAAATGAAGGATTTAAAATGTTATTCCTCTGTGGAAATGAGAAGAGGGATTGAGAATCTGAAAAGTGCCAAGGTTAATACTTACTGGTCCTACACGATGAATTATAACATCTCTGACTTCCACCCAGCCCTTTAAAGAAAGGACTTCAAATAATGCCAGCATTGCATTTCCAACATTGTCAAAGTTGAAGTTCCGAGGATTGGCCCTGTAATACAGCATAGGAATGTGGGGTAAAACAAGCCCTGAGAAGACTCTTACTTGTTCTGAAAACCATGGCAGATCTCTGTGTAATGAATGCGAGCAGTTCTCTCTCTGTGCCTCCACAAAAAAAGAAGTATTAAAAGCCCAAGGTATATTTGTTATATCTGAATTTTCTCTCTTTCCAATTTACCTACTTAAAGAAAAGGTTAATCTGAACATCTGGAAAGGCAGACAAAATTTTCAACTGAAAATGCACTTACTATTTGGAAGACTTGCCTAAGATTGTGCCATGAAGTTCCCTAACTTTTAAAAACCAGTATAATTTTATCAATCGTTTACTGCTGCTGTGCAGTGTTTAGTCCTATGTAATGTGCAGTCAAAATATGTGAGATGATTTTCAAATGCTCCATTCTGCATTTTTGAATGGGTTTTGGACTCAAACCCAAATGTGTTCCCTTCTTCATATAGTAATATGTTATTTTCTTAAAATGGGGCATATTCCTGCTGATACATGCTTACTCTGCACTGCAGATGGTCACAGATTCAGCTCACAGTTAAATGTGATCTCAGGAAGAAGGGCTTGGAGAGATTTCTGTGCGAAAACTATTGGAAGGCCAAGGCTATTTTGAGTCACCATAGTAGAAAGTATGAAAATAGCATCTAGCAAGAATTCACAATAAAACTAAACTAATCTGGAATGAAATATTCCTTATCCACCCCCCCCCCCGGCTCTGCATCATAAGGTAAGGCCTCTCTAGTTGTAAACTGTTACAACTGCCTCATCATAAGGCAGTTCCCGCATTAATGAGGTATACTTTTGCAATCTAGATTACACGGCCAAACATATTGTCATCTTCTCCTATTCCTGTGAACTAATATTCCTTGGGTCCTGTGAATGGTTGGAAACACTTAATGTTCTATCACAGATGAAGCTGTCAGATTCATTGGTGGATGAGATTCCTAATGTTAATTATATTTATTCATTTATTAGATGCATTTACATCATACCTTTCTTCAAGAGATCTCAAGGTAGGTGTATGAGTGTCTCCCTTGCAACAGCACTGTGAGATATGCCAAGCTGAGAGAAAGTGATTTGTCTAAACTCAATTATTTTTATGATTCAGAGGGGATATCAACCTGAGTATCCATTCAAACATTCTAACTAGACCACTTTCCAGCACTCTAACTAGATCACATTGGATCTGAGGCCACTGGCTTTTTAAAAGCAGAAACATATATAGGTTATAATCAGTAAATCAATCAATCAGTCACAGGGGAGGGAACATTTGAGAACTATCAAATAGTCACCTTCTTCTGGATACTATAGTAGAACACCTGTTCCTAGATAGTAGCCAGAGGAAGGTGATCAAGATGATGACAGATCTGAAAGGTGTGCCCAATGAGTAGAGGCTTAGAGAGCTGGGGATGGGTTAAGAGAGGACATGAAAGGTGTCATATTACGGACAGAGCAAGCTTTTTTCTACCCCTCCAGAGTCTAGGGCACGAAGCAATGGATTCCAACTATGGGAAATGATATTGAGTGAATTCTGAAGTAATGAAATACATGGTTAGCAGTCTGCTCCCTCAAGCTCATTTTGGATGTTCAAGCTGACCCACCCTCTCACCCATTAACAGTATAATTAATTGGTTGCCTTTGGGGGCTGGATAGGATTTCCCCCCTATGTTCTAGGGGTCTCTTTTGCCTACCCTATACTGTTCACAGAGAGCAAATTGGGACAGAGAGCTTTTTAAATAGGGCACAACAGAAAACAGCAGGGGATTTTACATTTTGCTATACACCCAAGGCACCACCATTTGGGTGTAGGCCAGGAAAGCAAACCCTCAACTGTGGCCCAAATAACTGAGGTGAGGGTGAATGAAATGGACTAGGAATGAGGAGAATCTGGCTTCAATAAATCGTAGAAGCAGAATTCTCCACCATGTTTTCTTTAACGGTCACCCGGGTTAGTTCAACAGGAGACTCAGGTGTTTTGCCCAAATTAGCTGAGGGGTAACCTGGTCAGGGCCACTACCTCGGCTTTATCCACACCAGGTACCATTTTTAGAATTAGCAGGCCAAATATACCCAGAAAAGGGCTAAAATTTGAGGCACCAAAATGGGTGTTGGCCAGTGCAATTGTTCATTTCTTTTTTCCTTTTTGGTTTTCACAAGTCATCCACCAAATAGGTGGGTTCTGCATTGTCCAAACCTTACATTACTAATTTAAACTTCCAAAGAAAGGCAGAGACCAAAAATACATCACTTACCAAACTCGTGGCACCCAAAACCCAGGCTTTTTTTCACCAGGTCTAAGCTTTAAATTTAGATTTTTGGAAACACTGACATTTATTCGGAATATGCCATGGCAGTCTTCCTATTATAAACAAATAAACAAACAAGAAATCTGATAAACAGCATTTGCTAATAAACCAAAATATTTTATTTGACAAGTTCTGCAAAAGGAAATCATAAATGGTATGTCAACATCACATTTAATTTGATTTAAAATGTCAACACCATAATAAGTTGGAACCTATACATGAAAGATGACACATGTTTGAAAAAGCATGCTGTTTCTAATAAGAACACCTCCCTCCTCACAATCAGTAATCAGAGTAACATTGTGCATGATGATACCCTACTAATTGATCTGCGGGAGCATATTGGTCACAGTCAACAGCAGACTTTTACAACCTGTGGCCCTCCAAGTGTTTTGGACTTCAGTAAGCCTGGTTTACAGCAATAATGACCATATAATACATAGACTCATATAGTTGGAAGGGATGTATTGAACCTTCAAGTTCAACTTCATGCTCATTGCAGGATCTCCAATTAAAGAATCTATAGCAGCAGGTAGCTGTTCAGTTTCTTTTTGAAGACCTCTCAAGAGGGAGATTTCACCACTTCTGTTCCATTACCAAACTACTTTTACTGTCCCTATAATGTTTACTAGAAATCGACTGTCCTGTAACTTCAGACCATTAGACCTGGCCCTACTCTACTGCACAGAAGACAACAACCTGTCACCTCTTCTGTAATAGTGCTTTACTATTTAAAGAGTGCAATGATGCTACCCATCAATATTCTCTTCACCTAGCTGAACATGCCCAGCTCCTTCCTTACCACCCTTCTCTAAACTTGCTCCATCATAACTATATCATTCTTAAAATGAGGAGCCAAGAACTGAAAACAGAACTCTAAATGGGACCTGACCATTTTATCATTTTCTTCCTAATTTTCAGGACATAAATCCAACTTCTCATTTTCTTTCTTAAAGAATTTTGCTGTCACCATTAGCTATCAGTTCAGGAATTTGCAGAGCTTGAAATTAACTAATTAAGGATAACAAGCTATATGCTAATTAATTACTCCCTTCTCCCCAAAGGCTTATCAAGTTGATATGTTGATCAATCACTATCAGATTACTCATAATTTGTTAATTGTAACTATTTATATGCTAATTATTTTCCTTTCTCCCAATGAGATGTAAACTGGCAGTATTAAAAGCTGTGCTGTTTTATCTTTTAAAACCCCCCACCTCTAAGTCTGGCAGTTATGGCATGCATTGCACTGCAAAACCTAGCATCCTTGTTTACTAGTCAGATCATAGTTAAGTACATCTGGAAATATTAGGTTTAAGTCCTGGCAACTCCATATATGGAATCTCAGGCATTGGATATTGGAATAACTCTACCAGAGTCTGAGAAGCTGTTGCCACACAGTATTATATCAACCTGCCTGCCCTCCTAAAGTAAGATTAATAAGTTTTCCTCTTCTGCTTGACCATAAGAGAACAGAAATTATCACAGTGGCAAGTAAGAAGGAGGGTTATTTTCAGGTGTGGCTTCATGCACCCAGAACTCTATTTCAGAAAAAATATATACTATCCCATTGCTTACTGTTTCCTCCTCTTCTTTTGTTGTTAACTGTCATCAAATTGACTTGGAATTATGGCAATCCCATGAATAACAGACTTCGAGGCCACTCTGTCATCAACAATCTTGTTCAGCTCAATTGTTATAAATGGTACTACTGCATTTTGTACTTAGTAGTTTGGATTAATTGTTGCCAGTTTGTGGCCATTGCTGTTCCTTTTTCCTGTTTGATTTTAACAGTTCTGAACTTGTATTTATTATATATTGTGATTCAACATATTTGAAACTAGTTTGGGAGATTTAATACCAAAATGCAGCCTATAAATGAAATGAATGCCTGACTCCATCTAAGGCAAATGTATTAGTATGCTCCTTTATGATGTATTTGCCATCTCCCATCAGTTATCAGATGTTTCAAGCCCTTCTGGTTCGAGAATAGGTCCCCAGAAGTCAATAACATCATGTCTATCACCAAAGCAAGTTAAGGGTCTGAAGATGAAGAAAACAAAATTTGTTCTTACCCTTGCTATGATATGTGGATCATTGCATTTAGCCAGTTTCCCAGCAAAAAGCTGAACTCCAAAGCTTGCAAAAACAAGCATTAAGGTCAGTAAAAGAATGGAAACCTGTAAGAGTAAATTAAAAGGAGTAAAACATTATTCCAAATAGCCCATTGATTGATGATGGACTCTGGGCATCTCCCACTAAGCCACCAATATGATCAAGAGACATACAGTATTTGGTCAAGAAACCCAGTGTTCACCACTGACTGAATACTGTCCTCGGTCTCCTCTAAACCTTGTGTAACCAGGTGCCTTTCAGAAATATTTGAAAAGTCTCCCATGGAGCACAGCTGCTGATGTTCTGACTGGAGATTCAGTTCCTAACCTTGCAATCAAAGACGTGCTGACTTTCACCATGCTCCAGATATACAACAATATGGCCTATATTTCATGAACACAAATACCGATACACTATATACAAATACAAATACACTATATCTATACAAATACAAACACACAAGCAGACAAGGTCTGCTAGAACAGTGCTAATACCCACAGAGGCCAACAATATGTCTCTAGGAAGGTCAGAAACTGGATCTATTTTCTACACATGGTGCCATAGGTGGTGGTTTCTTCTCATCCTGAATTTAGAACCTAACAGGGGTGTGCTCATGTTTAATGCACAATAGCAGAGCACACTGCAACCATGATACAAATGAATGCACTTGCAAAACACAATGGGGGTCATCTACACCAGGGGTCCTCAAACTAAGGTCCAAGGGCTAGATACGGCCCTCCAAGGTCATTTTCCCAGCTCTCGCTCAGGTCAACCTAAGTCTGAAATGACTTCAAAGCACACAACAACAACAACAACAATCTTATCGCATCAGCCAAAAGCAGGCCCACACTTTCCATTGAAATCCTAATAAGTTTATATTTGTTAAAATTGTTCTTCATCTTAATTATTGTATTGTTTTTAAGTGTTTTTTGTACTACAAATGAGATATGTGCAGTGTTCATAAGAATTCGTTCATTTTTTTCTAATTAAAATCCAGCCCTCCAACAGTTTGAAGGACTGTGATCTGGCCCTCTGTTTAAAAAGTTTGAGGACCCCTGATCTACACTGTAGAATTAATGCATTTTGGTATTCCGTTAACTAAATTTGGTATTCCGTTAACTAAATTGTATAAATTGTGGAATCATTGTATTTGTAGTTTTAGAAGGTTTTAAGCCTCTTTTTTTTTGCCAAAAAGTGGTGGTGCTTCACCAAACTCCAAATCACTGAATTCCCTAACACTGAGCCATGACACAAACATGCCACCGATTTTAGCCTTGTGTTAAGAAGTTGTTAATGTGGTGTCATACTGCACTCATTCTATACTATTGATGCACCCTAGGAAAACTTTCCCAGGTACAAAATACTGCTCACAATGTCTGTAGAAAATATGATAAAATTAAAGTAGTTTTATTCCTCTTTCAAAGAAACACATATATAGACTACAATCTATATATATAGACAACAATTCAATATTTAGATAAACTATATAGGCAACTATATCAGACCATTGGATTGTTGTTGGTATAGCCTATCTATTTGAAATAACGAATAACAGTGCTATTGCAAATAAAGAATAACAGTGCTATTAGTAGCAAAATGTTCAAATATTTTTGATTCCACTTATTTATTATGCTGGTGAAGTGAGACCTTATAACTAGATAGATTGCGGAGAGATTAGTTACCGAGTATGATGAAACAATAATGAGATGTTAATCCACACTTTTATCATGCAGATAAATATATAAACTTTAAAGCAATCTAGATAGTCACTATTGAATGCAATACTGGTTTATTTCTAAAATGATTTTGGAACAGGAAGAAAACAAGCTGTACTTACAAGAAAGATTTCTTTGAAGCCACTGAATAGCTCCCGGACAACCTTTCTCATCTGAGGCACCAGCTTAAATATTCGAAGGGGTCGGAGACACCTGAGCACCATTAAGAGCTGACCTCCTGATTTAGCAGGAACATTATGGGGCATCCAGCAGAGAAATATTAAGCTTACCTTTTGAAAAAGAGGAAAGAGAAATCCCGAATTTAACATAATGTATTAAAATATCTTATGATAAATTTGTTATTTTGGAAACTAGCTGAACAGAGCCGTGAAACCTTTTAAATAAAAATGTATGTGTGTGTATAATCTCCATGTATCTACCTATATTTCCTACATATAGAACACAAAACAAAATGTCATGCGAAAGTTGACATGGGCAGGCTAATCGTATGCTATTGCAATCTTAGGTCCCTTCCACACAACTGTATAAAATCCACATTGAACTGGATTATATGGCAATGTGGATTAAGATAATACAGTTCAAAGCAGATATTGTGAATTATCTGCCTTGATATTCTGGGCTATATGGCTGTGTGGAAGGCCCCTCACAGTCACAATTCTATGAACTTCTAGCAGAAGGCATGTAATTGGGATGAGAAAGTACCGAAATAATTACGCAGCACTTTTGGGATACGTGATTTATTTCAGCATGTGCTTTCATGAATTTCAATCCATATCTTGAGATCTGGATTGGTATCTATGAATCAGTTGGTCCAAAAGGTGCTGTTTGAGCCCATTCTCAATTCTTGAGTCCATTCTCCCTCCCTTTTCCATTTTATTCTGAAACCAACCTTCACAGCTATTTGTATGAAAACAGGAGCAATGCAGAAAAGTCTTAGAATACAAATTGTTTAGTTGCAATCCTGTTCGACTCAGCACATATAAAACTACTGCTCCCCCTGGTGGTGCAGTGGGTTAAACCACTGAGCTGTGGAACTTGCTGACCAAAAGGTTGGCAGTTCGAATCTGGGGGGAGGGGTGAGCTCCTGCTGTTTGCCCCAGTTCCTGCTAACCTAGCAGTTTGAAAGCATGCAAATGTTAGTAGATCAATAGGTACCACTTCTGCGGGAAGGAAATGGCGCTCCATGCAGTCATGCTGGCCATATGACCTTGGCGGCATCTACAGACAACGCCGGCTCTTCAGTTTATAAATGGAGATGAACACTACCCCCCAGAGTCAGTCACGACTAGACTTAATTTCAGGGGAAACCTTTCCCTTTTATAGTAACTATTATCCAAGCTATAATATGATATCTTTCTTGCCATTGAGTCATTAGTTCCTTATGAGGAAAGATTTTTTAGTAATCCTTTAGGCTTACCTTTTATATTAAAATCATGTTTTCATAATATATAAGAATATGAAAGGATAAGAAAAGGTATGAATCATTATCTCATTCTTCGTAATAAATCTTGACTCGCCATGCTTTCCTTTTTCTAGAATGGTGACCTACTGATTTATATAGTTTATTTCAAGTTTAAGGATGGGACTATGTATGTGGACTATGCATCTGTTTTATGATTTCACTTATCATGTTTAAAATGGTTGGTGCAACTTTGTGGGTGGGTGTGCCTTCAAGTCGCTTGACTTAGGTCCCTTCCACAGAGTTTTATAAAATCTCACATTATCTGCTTTGAACTGGGTTATACGGCAGTCTAATCTCAGATAACACAGTTCAAAACAGATATTATGGATTATCTGCCTTCATATTCTGGGTTAATATGGCTGGTTGGAAGCACCCTTATACTGTGCCCATTAATTTCATTGGCTTTTCTTCAGCAAGGAATAAGAGATAGTTTTTCTACTTCTTTCCTCTGAAATATGACCTACTACACCTGGTATTCATTGGCAGTCTCCCATCCAAACACTAGAGATAAATCTGCTTAGCTTCCAAGATAAGATTGGTATCTTTAGGGCAGTGTTTCTCAAACTCTCCTCCTCCGGATGTTCTGGACTTACCAGCTGTGAGGAGCTGAAGCCCAAAACATCTGGAGGAGCACGGTTTGTGAAACTCTGCTATAGGTATTTGGGCTTTTTTGGTGCAACTTTACCTGCTATCAAATAATAGTGTGAATTCAAAACTAAACAGAACTTTTGTCATATTTCTCCCCAGAATCTTTTACAAATGAAAGTGCAGTGCAGGCTTTTTTTAAAAATGTTCTTCAAACAAATAGCTGGAAAAGATTAAGGGTTCTGAGAAATGATCTCATTTTCTGACTACAGACATACAAGCCTTGAATACAAAATGATTAGGACAAATTATATTTATTACATGTGGTGACACAGTCTAATATGTCCAAGATTTAATCAAGCTTATAATGTTTTCACTTAGAAGTTTTTTTGAATTTTAAAAACAGTACTTTCTAGATAATATCATTCTGTATTTATTGTCATCCAAGGGGAGTTCAATATCAAATGAAACAAATGAAATGTTTTTTTTTCTTTATGAACTTTCCAGTATGGGCATGGGGCCATATCATTATAAATCAAAATAGATTCTTTATTCTGAAGGTTATTCTGAAGGACATCTTTCCTATAACTATGGAGCTACTCTCCCATACGTGAAATTCTTGGATGTGTCATCATCAGATTTAATTTTTCTATGCTTTCAGCATTGAAGGAGCTTTCAATACAGACTGTTTTATGCTGCTTTCATTCTGATGTATGTTTTTATCTGCTCTGTTTTTATGATATCATCCTTATTATGATCTCATCCTCATTTTATCTTCTTACCCTTCCAATTCTGATTTTAATTCTTCCTGTTAATGACTTAAAAATCCCTGTAAATTGCAAGATTAAATAAATATATAATGACATTTCAGACGTATATATGCATATTCAGTGCAACTAGTTTGCTGGAGATGAAGTTCAAGTGAATAACAGGGACTTTTTATCTATTGTGCAGGTTTTAATAAAAAGCAATGACATCAGCCATTGGAACAGGGGAGATGATTGTCATCACAATCTTGTATGTGTTGGGGAGCAGAGCACAATGTCACATTTTCTTCCCTTGCAACAATCCTTAATATGGGAGAAAGCAGTGAAAGGGATTTATTTTCAGGTTGGAGGATTTTCTACAGATTCCTCAGATAGACACAAATACCAGTTTAGGTGAAGGGATTTTTTTCTGGAGACTAGTATGAAAGGAATATGTTTTTCCCCTATATGCCAATCATAATTCTCATAATTAGCTTCAGCAGTATGAGACAGATGGAAAATGGATATGAGTGGTGACCAAAACTAAGGAACACCAAGAAGCAAAAACTGTCAATTCAATTGTTCCTTATTTCTCCACATCTAAAATAGAATGATGCCTGAGAATGCTAAAGAGTACTGAGAAGAAAATAATCAAATTACAAGCATACTACCAGAAACATTGCAACTAGATTGTACTTCTGCATACCAACTTGTCAAACATTTGCGTGCAAAAGTAGTTGAATAACAAAATACTAAACATATTCCGCCTGATAGTTCTCTGAAATTTAAATGAAAGTTGAAGAAACAGTTCAAATATTCTTGTCTCATATTGTAGGGTCTAATTTTTCTTCATTCAGATTAAGTTCCTCCTAAAAAAACCCAAAAACTTACAAGGTATATAAATATATCCATGACACCCCCAAAGTCTCGTATGACTGCCGTTGGAGTAAAAAACAAGCCATCAGCCATAATCTTCAAATTAAGTTCAATGCTCATGAATATTACAAAAACATACTCAGCAATCTGAAAAGTAAAAGAAAAACAATTGAGTATTTAGCATTAAACTTGTAAAAAAACCCCACCATTATTTTACACAACTAGGGACTTCTGTAGCAATACCTGAAGTGTTGGTGCATGCATCACTCTTCGAAATGGAGATTCAAACATCATTGAAATGCAGGAGCATATGGTAACAATGATCATTACCCAGTCTAGATAAGTAACCAATCCCAGTAAATCACTGGAAAACAATGAAACAAATCTAATTAGAGTGAAACTCCAAAATTACAACAAAAACAATCTGAACAACAGTATGGATTAGAAAAACAAATTGTAAAAATGTCTCACAGATTTAATATTTTAGATGACCATGGTAACATTATATCAACTGAAATATTAGCAAATGAAGTTTTTGGACAAATGTACAGAGTACAGAAATAGCCAAACTGTAGTTTATAAAACATCCCCCTTCCCGACTTTTGGTAGTGCTTACTATAGTTGATGATATTTCGTATTTTTCACTGCTCCTGTAACCGGGTCGGTTTTTGAGCTGTAATAAAGGGAAAACATATTTTACAATTCCATAGAATTTGAGTTTTATTATCCATAGTAATGTCATGCATGCAAATCCAGACTTTGAGGAATTGAGCATTTAAGGCCCTGGACCTAAATAGATAATTCTGTCTGTAATGTTTGTGGCAAATCTATGCCTTGATCCAGCTCAGGTCTATTAAAATGTTCTGTCTGAGTACAGATAGCCTACCCAGCTTCTACCGATGAACTATCTTTGCTTAGGGAAGAAAACCACAGAATAATAAAGTCTACATTCTTTAAGCACCTGATGAATCTATATTATAATTTCAGGCTTGTAACACAACATTGTCCATTTGTATTTTGTCCACATTTAGTTTTTTCACATATCAAAGTGTTTCCACTTCACAGATAAAGAAATTTGGAAATTTTGGAAAATTCTTTCAAATATCCAATTAAACAAATTTTTCACTTAACCCTAGTGTGAATAGCAAGTGCTGAGAACTACAGAAAGGTCCCCATGCCCTGTCCCTAATAACTCAGTTGGTTGGCACCAGAATACCAGACAAGATGACTCTAGTTTTAATCCATCCTGGCACTTCTTACATGCAATATATGTGTACCCAAATGCAAAGGTGCTTATAGCAATTTCAAAAGAGAATCAAGTAATGTCTGGACAAAATGTATGTTTTGATGCTTGAAGGGGTGAAGTAATATGATCTATCAAAGCAGGAAACACAAACACACAAAATCAGAGAGTACTCATATACTTACGCATTAAAGCGTGCTCGTACAACTACTCTGCAGAAATTTCTGAATCTGTGTTCACGGCCAACAATAAAAAGAGGCTTGTCAAAATAGGGGTGGTTCTCTCGCAGTTCTTCTTCTTGGACTTTCCTTTTAAAAATAATACAAAGGACTGTAAGATAGCCACAAACATATCCGTCAAATGTGGACATCTTCTCTTAATTCTTAAATTGCCAGACCCATGCTCTGGTGGAATCTGTTGATAGTTTAACTTTAGAAACCTTAGAAACCACTGCTCAACTATGATAATAATCTATTATAATAATTACATGGCTTCTGATAACTCACCTTGTTTTGAGAAAACCCCCTATGTTTTTTGGTGGATGCAGGTGTGAGCTAGTTTAGTGGTTTCCAACTTTAAGCTCTGAGATGTTGTTGAATGAAAATTCCAATAAATATTAGCTATGATGGTCAGTGACTGAAGTCCAACAATACTTTGGTGCCCTCCTAAGTTAGACAGCAAAACGTGAGGTCTATGTCCAAGAGAGAACCCTAGGACATATTTTAACTCCATCAGGAGAGCTCTAAAGATCCAGTGATGTCAGAGTCCACATCTGTGACCTTTTATCAGTGGACAGAAGCGCATTGATGGTTTTTAGGTTTTTTTTCTAAACCTAATATTGTGGAGGCCACTGAGTCACACTTTTAAGAGACAGGAAAGTAGTCTGGAAACAAATGATGGATGACCTATGTTATGGTGGCTTACAGTGAGAGTGCTACAAAGGTTTCTAAGGTTTCGCGACTGTAGATTACCTCCCCAGGCATAACTCTACTAGTGACAAGTAATAGAATACTGCATGGGATCATGGAGAGAAAAAGCCATATCCAGCACCCCAAAAGAAAGACAAATTCAATTAAACATTTAGGGTTAGTTCAAATGAAATTCTCATTATGTGACCTGCCATAGCAGGCACACAACAGGCAGGTTAATTCTGGTCTCTATCCAGTGAGTTCTGGTCGCTTCTGGAGTGAAAACTGGGTGACTTGGAAGGCGCTGAACAGACCACTCTCTGGCACCATGAGATGCAGAGCCAACCTTAAGAAATAGGGCTACAAAGTGGAATCCACAACATGCGAATGTGGAGAAGAGCAAACCACAGACCACCTACTACAATGCAACCTGAGTCCCGCCACATGCACAATGGAGGACCTCCTTACAGCAACACCAGAGGCACTCCAAGTGGCCAGCTACTGGTCAAAGGACATTTAATAGAATACCAAGTCTGCAAATTTTGTGTTCTGTTTGTTTGTTTGTTTGTTTGGTTTTAATGCAATACAAGGGTTTTGGTTTGCTCCTGACATGATACATAAAATAAATCAAAGGTGTTCCCTCACCCTCAGCAGCCATGGCTTGGTGGTCTTAGGTGCATTTTTTTTTGCTTTTGTTGATGTTCTTATTCTGCATCTTGGATTTGGGACACATCCAATGTTGGTATCATTGACCCCTGAGCTCTTTTCTGTGCACTGTAATTCAGTTTTTGTAAGATTGTTAAAGGCACCAGATCTAAGTCAGTACTTGATCAGTCTTTGAATGGGAGATGAAGGTCCTCATGTGTCCCCTGGGCAGAACATTCCCCATCCCTGTTGTATTGTGATCAACTCTGGGCCCTACAGCCATATAACCCAGAACACCAAGGCAGATAATCCACAATATCTCTTTGAACTGGCTTATCTGAGTCCACACTGCCATATAATCTAGTTCAATGTGGATATTATGCAGCTGTGTGGAAGGGGCTTCTGTTTGCTTAAATAAAGCTTCTAAACTTTGAGAGCTTTTTTTTTTCAACAAAAGTTTGCATATGGCAAGAACAGAGCTTGAGGCTTCTCTGCTCCCCTTACCCTTTCCACCAGGAAGGCTAAAGACATTTAAGAGCGATCTGGATATAAAAGTTTGAGGTGGAAAGGCAGGGGAAACAGATATCTTCTCTTAGGATGGATCTACACTGCTATATAATCTAGATCAGGGGTCCCCAAACTACAGCCCGTGGGCCGCATGCGGCCCACCAGGGGCATCTATCCAGCCCGCGCGGCCTGTCCTGGCCTCGCACAATGCCCCTCGCCCCCGCCAATGGTGTCCGCTCTGCTGCGCTTCTCCCTCCACAGCAGCGTTTCTCAACCTAGGGGTCGCGGGGCAATTTTCGAGGGGTCGCAGCATGGCCTCCTTAGGCCCCGCCCCCTCCACCTCCCTGGAATGGCTGCCAGGGCCCCTCTGCCAGTTTGGATCTGAACCGAACTACCAACACAAAAAGCAGCACGGAAGGGGGGGGGGAAGCAAAGAGGTCCACCGCTGCACTCCCCCTGCCTTCCCTGCAGGCTGTGGGGCAGGCCGAGCTTCTGGCACGAAAACTCAGTGCGGGGTGGGGGGAGTGAAGGGCCCGCTGCTCCTCCCCACAGGCCGCGGGAACTGGAGCCACGTGCAGCAATGGAGGAGTCTCCCCAGGAGGAGGAGGAGGGAGAGAATGAAGGTGTTGACGCTCAGTGTTTCCCAGATGGGTATGTTTTTTTTGGGGGGGGGGGTGCAGGGTTTGGGCAAAGTTTTCTTTGGAACATTGTCCTCACTTCCTTACCAATCCCCCCCCTTCCGACGACAAATGCCCTTTTTTGTTTTCTCCCAGGGCGCAGGACTTACTTCCTCCCTCCCTCCCTGGCTGCCTGCCTTCCTTTTTTCCCTTCCCTCATTCAATTCCTTCCCTTTCTTCTTCCCCTCTCCTTTCTCCTTCATTCTTTTTTCTTCCTTGCTTCCTCCTTTCTTCAATCTTTTCGCCATTCCCTCCCCTCCCCAATCCAAACTGCCTAAACACGTCCCATTTCCCAGGTTTACAGCCCCAGTGTTTTCAGCCAGCCAGCCGTCCGTGCGTTGGAGGAAGGGAGAAAAGGGAGGGAAGAAGGAAGGCTGCTGCTGCTGCCTTTGGCTGACCCTCAGCGCTGCTGGCGAGCTGGACCCAGTGGCATTAGTGGAGTCAAGCAGCACCCGGCCTGCAGAAAGGATGCACTGGCTGCAGGGGATGCCAGCTGCTTCGCTGCCTCTTTTTCCTCCTCCTCCGTGTTGTGTTTTTGTTTTGGGAGGGAGGGAGGGAGGGAAGAGGAGGGGGTGCCTCTCCGGGTGACCTTAGCTCAGGCATGGGCAAACTTGGGCCCTCCAGGTGTTTTGAACTTCAACTCCCACGATTCCTGACAGCTGGTAGGCAGTTAGGAATTGTGGGAATTGAAGTCCAAAATACCTGGAGGGCCCAAGTTTACCCATGCCTGCATTTGCCACAAATATGCAGTGAGAACCTCTTTGGTTGTACGTGAACTATAAATCTAATCAACTCCAACTCCCTAATGTCACAGTCTATTTTCCCCAAACTCCACCAGTGTTCAAATTTGGGCATATTGCATATTCGTGCCAAGTTTGTCCAGATCCATAGCTGTTTGGGTTCACAGTACTCTCCAGATGTAGGCAAACTACATCTCCCCTAGATCACTGTCAATTCTTCCCAAACCACTCCAGTATATTCTGTTTGTCATGGCAGTTCTGTGTGCCAAGTTTGGTCCAGTTCTGTAATTCCTGGGGGTCTCAGTAGTCTGTGGAAGTCAGAGCAGAATTGATTGAAGGTATTGCAAATCCCATTATTCATTGCCCATACTCCCCCAAACATATTGTTTTTGTGATTCATCACTATGCTTTAATTATATTCAATCTGTAACAATGAAAATGCATCCTGCATATTAGATATTTACATTACAATTCATAACAGTAGCAAAATAGGACATGTGCAGTGTGCATAGGAATTTGGCCATCATTTTTTTTTAAAAAACTATAGTCCGGCCCTCCAACGGTCTGGGGGACAGTAATCCGGCCCCCTGTTTAAAAAGTTTGAGGACCCCTGATCTAGATTATCAAATTAGATAATCCACATTATCTGCTTTGAACTGGATTATATGAATCTACACTACCATATAATCCAGTTCAAAGCAGATAATCTGGATTTTATATGGCAGTGTAGAAGGGGCCTTACACTCACAGAATTTTATGGTACTGTGTTATAATTCTTAATACATTTGACCTTATGGTTACAAGAGCACCATTCCATATTCAACCTTACAAACCTAGTCTCTGTATACCCTAAAACATTCTCCAGAACTAGAGCCACCCTAAGTCCCCCCAGGGGTTGAGAAGGGCGGGGTAAAAATGTTCGAAATAAATCGAAATAAATAAATAGACCCCCTCCCAAAGTGCATTTCTAAGCTATGCCAAGCACAAGTGAGTGGAAATTGCTGTAGCAACAGTGTAGCATTAGATTAGGCATTCTGTCCATTTAAAATGCTTTCAACTGATATTTTAATGCTTTCAATTTAATAAATACTAATGTTATTATTACTCACTACTTGTTTTTTATCTATACTGTTTAAACTTATTGAGATCATCAAAATGATGTTGTTTACAATGTTATTATAATAGTTTTAGACTGTGGTTTGATAGGATTATAATTTATTATAATACATCTGTTAAAAATATATATTGTGAACTGCCTTGGGAGATTAATGTTGGAATATAGCCTGTAAATACCACAAAGAAACAAATGTGCTTATAAAACCTGCAGATGGTAAACACTGCCTCAAAGAGGAATTTATCCGATTCATGCAAATAAGAATGCTTCTCACATTATGTTGGCTCTGGTATTTGTGCACATCATCTAAAAAGAAAAGCATGCAATTTGTTTCAGAAACTTTGTGCTTAGCCATATGTACTTCATGCAAATGAACAAAAGACTAATTGACTAATCAGCAAAAGCCCATTTAATTATTTGCTTAAAATTGTTGAATTAGGAGTAACCGTAGAAGAAATGTTAAATAAGAAACCCATAGGAAATGTATATCCAAAATACCTTTTCATTTCTGCTTGTTCTTTCTTCTCTTGGATCATTTTTATTTCACTGTCTTCTCTCTGTGCATTTCTGTACCTCACTGTGTTAGAATGCTAGAAGAAGAAGAAGAAGAAATATCTAAAGCAACGTTCTCTGTTTTTTTACTGTGAGACAAAAAACAATCAAGTTGGTTTACAGTAGCTAAAACTAAGCATTTTATATCACATTGGTTTGAAGATATATATATATATATATAAACACACACACACACCCACACATATATATACATACATACACACACACACACACACACACACACACACACACTAGCTGTCCCCTGCCACGTGCTGCTGTGGCCCAGCCTGGTGATCTGGAAAATAAAGTAATGAGAAAGTGTTGGTTTCTAATATATGTAATTTCTTTATGCTTGTGGGTAAACAGTATTTCTTGCTGTTCCTTTGTCAGTGTTGATGTGGCGATTGTCTGGTTTGCCTACTCTGGAACATGCACATATGTATAATTGTCCTTCTTTAGGGGTCCCTTTCAAATCTATACTATATATCTCTCTGTGTGTAAATCATATCTATCTATCTATATCTATGGGTGGATGGCTCTTTGTCAGGAGGGCTCTGATTACTTATTCTTGCCTTGGTGAAGAGAGTTGGACTGGATGGCCTTAAGTATTTTCTGTTGGTCATGGGGGTTCTGTGTGGAAAATTTGCCCCAATTCTGTCGTTTGTGGGATTCAGAATGCTCTTTGATTGTAGGTGAAATATAAATCACAGTAACTACAAATGCCAAGGTGTATTTCCCCCAAACTCCATCTGTGTTCATATTTGAGCATATGGAATATTTGTGCCAAATTTGGTCCAGATCCATCATTGTTTGAGTCCACAGTGCTCTCTGGATGTAGTTGAACTACAACTCCCAAACTCAAGGTCAATGCCCACCAAATCCTTCTAGTGTTTTCTGTTGGTCATGGGAGTCCTGTGTGCCAAGTTTGGTTCAATGCTATCATTGGTGGAGTTCAGAATGCTCTTTGACCATAGGTGAACTATGGTCCCAGCAACTACAACTCCCAAATGACAAAATCAAAAAACTTTGAGTGAAGGACATAAATTGGGTTGTTAGGTGTATGCTGTCCAAATTTTGTGTCAATTGGCCCACTGGTTTTTGAGTTTTGTTTGTTAAACTTTCGGCCTGTTTCCAATCTCCCCTTTTTGGGCAAAGTCATGGAAAGCATGGTGGCCTCACAACTCCAGGTATTCTTGAGAGACACGGATATTCTGGATCCGGCACAGTCTGGTTTCAGACCGGGACATGGTACCGAGACGGTCTTGGTCGCCTTAGTGGATGATCTGCGCCGGGAGCTAGACAGGGGGAGTGTGTCCCTGTTGGTGCTCCTGGACCTCTCAGCGGCCTTCGATACCGTCGACCACGGTATCCTTCTGGGGCGCCTTGCGGAAATGGGTCTTGGGGGCACTGCTCTGCAGTGGCTCCAGTCATTTCTGGAGGGTCGTACCCAGAAGGTGTTATTGGGGGACTCCTGTTCAACACCACAGCCTTTGACCTGTGTGGTTCCACAGGGTTCTATACTGTCCCCCATGCTGTTTAATATCTACATGAAGCCGCTGGGTGAGATCATCCGGAGTTTCGGGGTGCGGTGTCATCTGTACGCAGATGATGTCCAACTCTGTCACTCCTTTCCACCTGCTACTAAGGAGGCTGTCGAGGTCCTGAACCGGTGCCTGGCCGCTGTAATGGTCTGGATGAGGGCGAACAAACTGAAATTAAATCCAGACAAGACAGAGGTACTCCTGGTCAGTCGCAAGGCCGAACAGGGTATAGGGTTACAGCCTGTGCTGGACGGGGTCGCACTCCCCTTGAAGGCGCAGGTTCGCAGCTTGGGTGTGACCCTGGATTCATCTCTGAGCCTGGATCCCCAGGTTTCAGGGGTGACCAGGGGAGCATTTGCACAGCTTAGGCTGGTGCGCCAGCTGCGCCCGTACCTTGGGAAGTCTGACTTGGCCACGGTGGTACACGCTCTGGTCACATCCCGCCTTGACTACTGCAACGCTCTCTACGTGGGGCTGCCCTTGAAGATGGCCCGGAAGCTTCAGCTAGTCCAGCGCGCGGCAGCCATGTTACTAACGGGAGCGGGACGCAGGGAGCACACAACGCCCTTGTTGTCCCAGCTCCACTGGCTGCCGATCTGCTACCGGGCCCAATTTAAGGTGCTGGTGTTATCCTACAAAGCCCTAAACGGTTCCGGCCCAAAATACCTTTCGGACCGCATCTCGGCCTATGAGCCCACGAGGGCCTTGAGATCGTCTGGGGAGGCCCTTCTCTCGATCCCGCCTGCCTCACAGGCACGTCTGGCGGGGACGAGAGAGAGGGCCTTCTCGGTGGTGGCCCCCCAGCTGTGGAACACCCTCCCTGTTGACATCAGACAGGCGCCCTCCCTTATGGCTTTCCGTAAGAGCCTAAAGACCTGGCTATTCGAGAAGGCATTCAACTGAGTGCTACATTAACTGGTAATGACAACTGGAACGGAATATGGATTATGAGATTGGCTATGATTCTATGTTGTGACGGTGCGGATTAGTTAGTGTAATTTAGATTAATATGTAATATAGTTATGTTGATGTATTGTGTGTTTTTGTAAACTGTTTTTATATGTTGTACACCGCCGCGAGTCGCCCCAGGGCTGAGAGCGGCGGTCAACAAATGCAGCAAATAAATAAATAAATAAATAATCCCACAAATGAACATTACATTTTTATTTATATAGATATATTACACACGCACACACACATATAGCGAGAGAGAGTGAGTAATGATATCAATGCAATTTAGAAGGGTCTAACACTGAGTAGACTGGACTTTAGCAAATTGAAGACAAAAGAAATGTTGATAAACCTGGCTTCCTTCACAGAGGTCCTACATGATGTAGAAAAGCCTTAACTTTGAAGCACTGAAACAGAAGCGGTTTCCACCAGCAACTGAAGATTTCCTCTGTCATTCTATCTACCATTTCCTCTAATCTTTTATTCCAGTGGAAGATTGTTATTGGCTATTCCTAACAGTTCTTTTTATCATTGACCATGAGGTCAAGAAATAGAAATACTAGCCGTGATTGAGAAAATGGAATATAATTTTATGCTCATGGAGTCTTGTGGCAGCTGTGCAAGTTGGCTTTCTTAGTGAATTGTTACATTGCACAACCCAGTGCATAACTTAATCTACATATATAATGTATACCAGTGACAATACACTACATGCTTACTTTTGTAATTTTGAAATACGTATGGCTATCTGTATGGACAAAAACATCCAATTACATAACGGAATATACTCATGTGTAAGAAACCAAATAGGAGCCAGTCCCTATATTTCCTTATTAATGTGCTTGACATTAAGACAGTCTTTATTCAAAGCTACACATTATATGGAAATAGCTCTTAGTAAAGTTATTTTTTTGACATTTTTAAAAATAGGGCTTTGCAACATGTAAAATTAACCTATCTGAAATTTGTTCCTTTCAATGTCAGGGCATATATCCTGGGCACCCTGTGACACTTCAGTGTATTCACAGGAGACAATCAGTGCAAGCAGGATTGACTTGTTATCTATTTTTCAGTATATGTTTCAGCACATTGAACAACTCCCTGAAAGCTCACACTTAAAATTCAGAGTGAAATCATTATTGCACTGATCTGAAAAACCACCAGCGGTCATTGAATATGAGTCTTAAGTGAGTAAATTTGATGAGTGGTAGAGAGGTTACTGGGTACCTTGGAAGTATGAATTCTGACCTAATAGGAAACTTCGGAGCCAAACCAGTAGTTCCAACCCAAGTCTGCTTATTATTGAACTAATAAAAATACTGGCAGTTGGGAAGGGACTTTTATAAATCCCTGGAACTGTTTCCTTCTGGCCTCAAATTATATTGATCACTAATGATTTTATGTGCTAATTATGAACACCTGCCATTTAGGGACTGTTGATTATATTACTGGCATCAAAACACACACACACTAATTAAAATTAAGTAATGCATCAAAACCCAAATAATCCACATAATTATGTTTAGGATCCCCTTAGTCTATTTGCCAAACTTTATATGACAGGTTTTGTAATATTGGAGCTATTATTCTGACAGACAGGCTCACATTTTTTGCTTTTCTTCTAGATAGAAACTAATTTGATTAATACAATAGTGATAGTGTATTAATATAATGGTGATTATAGCAGTTATTATTTGCTGTACTACCATAGACATCACTTCTATTATAATATCAGATATTATGGTCAGTGTGGTGTAATGGAAACTCACTGGGTGACCTTGGGCAAAACACACACTCAGCCTCAGAGAAAGGTAAAGGCTCCCTAAACAAACCTTGCCAAGGAATCCCATGATAGGTTTGTCTTAGAGATGCCATACATTTGAATAACTCAGTGGTACATGATAATATTATGGTCTGAGTAATATTTGTATAGACTTACATCTTGAGTTAAAGTTTCAAGAGATTTTCCTCTGCTGATTCGTTGACTGTTGGACCCATGTCTTAGTGACCTGAAATAAGTACATTCCCCTGGATGAGAGATGCTAACATCATTATCTTTATGTAATGCTTATTGGGTTTTTTTTTCAAATGTTATATCATTAGCTTGCATGTTATTCGGTCTCCGTTAATTAGCACATTAACCACATTTTCTGATCTTTTAAACAAATAGTTTAGATACCATGGAAACATCTGAATGTTGAAAAAGTATTTTTAATTAATACATGACAATGAGTTTGCCATGGTTTTTGCTATAAATATGTAAACATTGAGCTATGCCATTCTTGATACATACATTTCTTCCTTAAATAGTTTGCTTGTATCTACACTTACCTGCGTTCTTGCCGTATATGATGTTGGACACTCAGAATTGACCTTTCTTTTGCAGGCTGCCCCTCAAAGGAACCACTGAGCATGCGCTGGCGAGTGCAGGCCCTGGGGGGGGGGGGGAAGCAATATTATAAGAATGAAAAAATTCTATAGACATAAAGGAAAAAAAAAAGGACAAACTGAAAAAACATAGCACGCAATCCACAGTCTTGTGTGACACTCCCGACCAGAGCAAGGGAATAGCAAAGAAGCAGGATTTGACTGAGTCCTTTTCATTCTTTCTCTTGACAATCCATGCCCTAGAATCATATGTCAAAGTATGGTCAGCCACCAATCTCTTATCCATCACAGGCCTACTAATTGAGGGCACAAATCCTACCTACATGTGGGGTTTGTGCCCTCAATTTGCACTATACCACCCTATACCAGTACCATCATTTGTGAGATGATTAGAGGGGGTGGGGTGGAAAAAAGAAATCTCAATGATGTAATAGTTATTACAGAGTCATGCATGAGTTCTCATGCTCGACTGTTTTACTAACCCTGCTGAATATAAGCAGCAAACATGAGTTACCTCACAAGAGTATGCCTCTTCCAATACAGTGAGGCCCAGGTGCTTTATTGGGCCACTCAGGCCAGGAAAACATGGTATATTTCTAGAAGCAGTGGCTACATCTGGGTTTGGCTTTGAAAGACTAATGACCTTATCACAAAGGCCAGTCAAAGCATCATGCTTTGCCTGGCTTTGTGGAGGAAAGAAAAGGGCAGTGGGGTGAGTCTGTTACCCCGCACGCAAAGGAAAAAAGAATTAGATTGGACAAAATGATTCATTATTCAGCAACTGAAAACTACTTGCAAATGTATTTAAAATAAAATTATTAAATCACAACCATTACCTAAGAATTTTATTGATTGCAGTCTCTTTTTCCAGAAGGTTTCTTGCCCTAATGCTGAAAACAGATTTGCGGAGCTGTGAAAAGAAGACAATGCAGCAATGTATCTGCCATCACTGATCAGATTACTGACTAATATATATTGTGATGTTGAAGTACATAACTCAAATGTTAGCAGGTAATTCCTAATATGGTAAACCAGGCATCTTTGCATATTTGGAATTTGTACTCCCTTTGGAGCCCTGAAGATAATTTCTGAAGGAATTGTTCTATAGTGATATTTCTATGAAAACTTTTAAGTATAGAGGGACTAGCTAATGAGTTATTTAAATGGCTCAATAAGCTTTATTTTGAAGGATTAGAGCCACCAAGTTTACAGTGCTGTTTTGAAAGAACGTCTACATCGCAAAATGCACATGGACACCCCAGTGGGAAAATTTACAGCCGGTGTATTTGTGTGTGACTGCATTGAATTGCATTATATGGCAGTTTAGCTGGGGCCCAAGAAAGAAAGCAGAAATGGAAAAATGAAATACTTCTTTATCACACCTCTGCTGCAGACATATGTAGAGAGAGCATTTCAGGAAAATCGACAACATAGAACCTATCAAGAGAATATTATCATAATATTATCCTGGCTATCTCTGAATGAAAGTAGCCGGTAATATTGGGACCTTAATCTGTGTTTAATGAAAGAACTTGGAATTAAAGGCATGTTTAAGTTGAGTCAAAAGCTCTGATATGAAAGAGTAACCAAGCAAGCATTTTGGATTGAGTTAGCACTCCATATTCATGTCAAAAGCATCCAAAATTTAAGAGGTCAAAGACCAGACTTTGGTTCCATAGACTGGTAGTAGGGCGAGGAGGGTGTTAATTTGATAATTTCCATTCAGATCTTCCATTAGAACTTTGAATTCATTCCCATAAGTGCATTTTAAAGCTGTAACTGAAAGGATTTTTGGAGAATAAGATCTTTCATGGTTCGGATGAATGAGCTAATTGCCTTGATGCACTTTGCTTATTAATAGGGCAATGTAGATAACTATGCAAAAAATGGAAGATGAATGGCAGGGAGAGGAGGGGAAAAGAAAAGAACAGCTCATTAACTTCACTATAACTAATCTGATTCTGTTCAGTTATCAAACTCTTTGTGCTGAATGTGCTGTTTTAGTGGCCCCAGAGCAGGGATGGGCAACTTGATTTTGGATTGGGGGGAGGGAAAGCAATGTAGGGGTGAAGAGGAACTTGGAGGGTGCATGAGATCCACGGACCATATGTTACCCAATGTCCACCCTACAGTATGCTATGCAGTACAGGATATTATTCTACAAGGTGAAACCAAAGGGCATATTTCGGTGGTTAAGTCCTTGACTTCTTTAGAAACTCTGAAATAGCCTGACTGGAAAATCTGAAGAACCACTGCTATTTGATTTTGTCAATACAAACAGTGCCTGAGTTACAAACATTTGACTTACAAATGACTAGTACTTAAGAACAGAGGTGAGGTAACAGGAAGTGAGAAAAATCTACCCCTAGGAAGGGAAATTCACTTCTGAAAGAATTATCATGCAAAAAGGTGTTGCAAATGAAACTTTATCACCAATCCTTGTTTCCACAACAAATCAAATTTTTCAAAATCCAGTTATGACAAGACTTTCTCTGTTGTATGCTGCTTGCTCTCCCTTTTCAGGACAGAGCTCATTACACAATGCACGTGTACTTCTGGGTGGCATATACCGCTGCCACAGCAACATGGGAGGCTTCCTCTGTTGCTTTCAGGATAGTGTGTGTGTGTGGGGGGGGGAGCTGGGCAACGATGCTTCTTCTCATGGGATGGGGGTCGGGATAAGCCACGTGAAGTAGGATGTGGAGAGATGGATTCTCCATGCTCCCCCCAATGCGTGGAGAATCCATGGGCCTTTGTGATGAGGTTCTAACAGAACGAACTAGTTATTTTGCAACACGTTGCTTCCACGAGGTGAGAGGAATTATATTATTTTCTCTTGTGATTTTTTTCTGGTGTTTCTTTCATTGGAGAAAGTGGGCACTACAAATGCACATATGCACACAGAGATACTTTGAGCTAAATCATTCCTTGGATATGAAAACTAATGTCATGAAGAATTAGGAAGAGAATGTGTTAAGTTACAGAAATGCCAAATAAATCCCTTTTAATCTGTATTCATACAAGAGAGACATTCCTAAATCTGCTTATCTCTTGTGTCAATTTCACAGTCAAGATTCCTATAAATATACAGTCAAGGTGTTTGCGAAGGGCCTTGGGTCTGGAATTTGCACAAGCTATTATGTCTGGATTCCACAGTGCATCATCTATCAAGAGGATAGTTGAGATGGATTTATGACTCACATAATTACCTTTGGCTATGTATCCCTTGGTAGTGTGACAGATTTAACTCACCATCTTATTATATCATTTTGAGAAAGCTATGATTTTCTTCTCTTTTTAATTCTTTTGTGATTAAATTTAGAGATCCATTTAATAGCACTTATTATTTACCAAGCACCTATAAACTAAGCATTATATGGAATGCAAGAACAATAAAGCCCTACTGACAGAATAACCATCCTAACCTGCCCCCACCCCCCGGAAGGCAAAATATCTTGCTGGTTAAGGTAAACTGTTGTGTTCTCACTCAAAGGGCTCTTAACAGTTTGATTCCTCAATATATGAAGATGGCCTTCTCTCTTTCTATAAACCTTCTTGAGACCGAGAAGCTATTGGCTTTAGGGCATCCCTCTTTGTCTCTAAATTCAGGGCAATATAAAAAGTCTACTTTATCTGCTGTGACACTTCAACTGTGGAAGACTCTCTCCTTGGAGACCCAACTGGCACCAACCTAGCTCCTGAGAGATGAAAATATGGCTGTTCATGAATGTATTGTCGAAGGCTTTCATGGCCAGAATCATTGGGTTGTTGTAGGTATTTTGGACTGAATGGCCATGTTCTAGAAGCATTCTCTCCTGACGTTTTGCCTGCATCTCACAACCTCTGAGGATGCCTGCCACAGATGCAGGCAAAATGCCAGGAGAGAATGTGTCTAGAACATGGCCATCCAGCCCAAAAAACCTACAGCAACCCTGTTCATGAATGTTTTGGGGATCTGATTGATTTTATAAAAACCTGCTTAACTATCATTAAAATATGTTAATTGTTTAATTCAGCTTTTCGTATTTTGAAAGTATTTTCATTATATGTATTGTTTTACATTTGTTAGATTGTTTTTTGGTACGCTGGTCTGAGATCTCTGGATAATGGGTGGGATATACATATTTCAATAAAGAAGTAATCAAAACAAACAAACCAAGTTAGAAATTTGTCCTTGTTAAATGATGATAAAGTCTAGTCCTCACCATTTTATACTCTATGAAGTGTTCTAGATTCACTGATTCATGCTACATGAAACATAGATAGGGTGCACAATAGAAGCAGCAGCTGTGAGCAGAATGTCTCCTTCACTGTTGTTGGTTTCAATGTTCTGTGTTTAATTGACAAGAAACCCAAGCTTCTTTCATTTTACTGTGCACACTGACAAGTATTCTTTTTAAATGTTACTATTTCAATTTTATGCCAGCAAAGAGATTTGGGAAGAAATCAGTATGTTTAAATGGGAGGTTGCCATGGTAATTGTAACTGTAGAAAGACAGCATTAGTCTAGCAAAGTGTAACTAATGTTCCATCAAAGCAGATAAAATTCCCATGGAGTATAAGAAATAATTTCCCAGCAAGTCACATTCACATCCATGTAGCCCAAATATCTTTGGCAACAGTTTTCCAATGCCTTGTGCAAAACTGTCTGAGGTTCAACCTAGATATGTACTACATTAGACTTACAGTGCACAGCTGAAATTGTTTAAAGCTTGTATGGCTGGATTGTGATAAGGTTGCATGGGTATGGAGGATTTAAACTTTCTTCCTGCGTGTTTTTCTTTCATAATTTTACAATCTCTCCTTCCCATGCTCAATCACTTTTTCTCACACACAATTATTGATGGCAATGGAATTTTATCCCACTCCCAAGAGAGGTGGGACAAGTCACAACCTCCACTGAATCCCTGTTTGAAGGCTGCTGTTAGATGGAATAGAGGTTTAGCAGCTGCCATCTTCTCCTGTGGTACACTGTTCCCTATTTCCCATTCATTTTTTTTCTCTCAGCACCCAGCCAATCAAATGGCTAGTTGACTCTGTTTGTTAAGGACAAGCTATACACAGTGGGTAGCAGAAGGGAGATTTTTCCCCTCTGGTCAACCTGGGGAGCTCACACTTGGTGTATAGTACATGGTCAATTATGCTTTTACTGCCCTTCCAGCTTTCCCTGTTCTTGGATTTCTGTAAATCCGCATGGGTTCTTCTGCAATTGTAAGTTTATTTCTTTTCAGGTTTTATTAATTTTTTGTGGCATTTTAGCATGCTATAGCAGAAGGCTCCCAAGCTGGTTTCATTATCATACACCCTGTCACCCCAGTTGGGGAATTCTTTAAAGGGGCCTTGGGGATGAAGGATTCTAGTGACATGTCCAGCCCAGGGTTATTGGTGGTATTTCACCCCCAGGAAATGAGAGGTCAATTTAAATACCTAAACATATGTGGGACCCCACATATTTCATCTGTTCTCCCAGCAGCTAAGTGAGTTGTTGTTAGCTGGCAGGTGAGTCAACTGATGACTAGCCTCTTCACACAGGCTTCTCCAGACAAGGAAAGCCCTCTGACTTTAAACACCACACAGCTGAGCAGAAATGCAATCCATTTATTGAAGATTGTTAAAAAGCAGTAGTAAAAAACACTCTAAAAGAATAGGTAAATCCAATTAGGTAGGGAGATAAGCTGGGACAAATAGTTCAGGGAATTAGTCCATCAAAGTCAATGAAAACAAAGGCTGAAACTTCTATAGTAAAATCCAAAAAGTAGAAACATGAATCCAAGGCACTTTACACATGATAATAAAATTCAAGAACTGAAACCATGAATCAAAGGCACTTAACACATGAATCTTTCCAAAGCAAGGCTTCCATGGAACAGGAAAGAGGTCTGACAGCAACACTGACAGCTCCCATGACACCCAGTACAACTACTTCCAGGGTGGCTCCATGGCCGAACTGGAAAAAACACTGCTGCTGCCAAAAATAAGTGGGTGGTAGATAATGAGGGACTTCCCATCTTTCCATACACCACATGTTTAATTGTTAATGTTATTTAACTCTGCAGCTGTAACTAGCGATGCTGGAAGTCAGGTTCATCCTTCAATGCATCAGTTTTAACTTTTTAAAGAAATGTTCAAATTGTCTTCATCCTCTTTCTTTTAAAGATCAAATAAGTTAGAAATGAACAGGATACAAGTGGTGCATAAATTATTTCCCCCACTTCCAAATAATTTTCATTAAATATTACTAGGAAAGTGGGGGGTGGGGGGCCAAGGGAAGGAAAAGGAAAAAAAATGAGGTAATAGATTAATTATTGGTTACTGGGTTGTTGTAGGTTTTTTTGGGCTATATGGCCATGTTCTGGAGGCATTCTCTCCTGACATTCCGCCTGCATCTATGGCAAACATCCTCAGAGGTAGTGAGGTGGTTAGTTGCATCTTTACAAATGTCTAGTATGTCACAACAAGAAAAAAAAGAGCGTGAGGGTTGTTGAGGTATGGGGAGTTCCTTTACAAAATTATAGTGCATAAAATTGTTTGATGGACAACTAAACCACTGCAGTAGATAAACATAAGGCAAACTACCTATCTTTCCACCTCACTGGAATTTTATAAAAGAATTGTAATAATCAGAATCATTCCTGCACTGTATACAAATTTATCTGTAAGTTCAATTTAAATTAATTAATTTTAAAAAATCCGAAAACCTTTGGAAACCTCATATATTGCTGTTTACCTTCTGGTCAATATATTTGTCTTCAATTGCAAGCCTTTTGGAGTGGTCACAAGAGGAGGAAGAAGCTGATGGAAGCCTTCTTAGTAAACAAGTTGTGTCTTGTTGCTGTCGATCAATAAACTGCTTCATAAAACTTTCCCTTGTAATTACAAAAAAAAAAAGAGGAAAGTTAATTGAAGGAAAAGTAGAAATTCATTTTGGTTTTACTTATTATTAACTTGGTACTTTAGTTACTAAAACAGAATTAATAGTTCTTGTAACACATGCTATGTTTTGGTCTCTGATAAGAGAAAAGGTAAAATTAAGATGGAAAGTCATAAGAGGCATGTCATACAAAATAATTTTGGTTTAATCATTAAATTAAATGAACAATTATTACTATTAAATTTGTATGCATCGGAAAGTTAGCCTAAACCAGGAGTAGGGAGCCTATAACTCTTTATTTAAATCCAAAAGTTCTCTACAAGTATTCATTTCAGATCTTTGGGATGAATAATCTGAATGGGATGTTGGGGGGCTGAGGGAGAGAAAAGCCACATCTACTGCTGGATTCAGCTCCATCCACTGTTAGCATGCTGACTTCAATATGCTAAACCTGAAGAAATTGGGTCCTTGGAACAAAAAAGTTTGCACTTTCCTGTTCTAAATGATTGTTTTACTTCTTTAATTATCACTTGTTTTGCAGTTTACACATTTGGTGTGTGATAAGTTTTGAACTACAAACAGTGGCAAGTTCTGTTTTTTATGTCAGTTGGGCAGTGCTCTCCCCCACCTCTGGTTATTTCTAGTTTTCCTCCTCTTCGGTTTTTGTTTGATTGTAATGGAACAGCACAAGGTACTAAACCTATTTAGGAAATAGGGTTGGCACCTTGGATGTTGTTGTGTTCCTTGAATACATTTTTACTCATGGTGAGTCTAAGGCAAACCTATCATGAAAATTTATCTGCAAGATTTGTTCAGAGAGGATTTGCCACTGAGGTTGAGAGAGTGACAATGTGTTTCTATGGATCTTCTGGATTCACAGTTCAGTGCTCAAACCTATATACTGTCCCTCCTTGGAGATTGCCTTTAAAAACTCAAATTCCGAAGGGATTCAATGGTCCACTGACATGGAAGATGCCAGCTGCTGCTATAGAAATGATGTTAGAATTTTAACAAATTCTCTTTTAGTTAAAAAGTTACACACACACAACAAATGACTTTTGAAATATTTACAACATATTTTGCTGTTTAATATTTTTGTTTGTTCGCCATTTTTACTTTGCTAAATTTGGTGTCGTATACAAGAAAGCCAATGCCAGATAATGACTCTTGCTGGAGAGTAATGAGCTCCATTGAATTCAATGCAGTTTATTTCTGATTTGATATGTATAGGACTTTGTTTTGAAAATTATGAATTTTGGAGTTTGGAAGCATTCAATTAAATAATCACACCTGTTTCACTAAAGGTTTGTGTGTGTGTGTGTAGGAAAACTGAACGATCACACAAATGCCAAACCAAAAAAATGCAGTGAAAGTCTTAAACCCATCTCAAAATGCTCTTCACACTGGTGCAGTGTGTTAGGAGAGTTGGAAGAGGTTACTACCTTATTTTGGGGACTGTAAAATCCGAAGGGAGCTTGGAGATTTTTACCATTTGAGGTCTGTTGGGGAATTTTTCGAAGATCCGTAGACGCAATGGGAGCTTCTCCTTCGTATCCGCATTTGCTTCACTTTGTTTCAACTAACAAAACAAAACAAAATAAAATAAACAATGCAGGATTTTCTTTTGGCTTTTTTTGCCAGATAAGCTGATGCAGCTGAAGAAACACAAGATGGCAGTAAAGAACTACAGAGAGTACTGTAGTGGTTCCAATACGCCTCCCTTAGTGTGTTAGAGCTACTGTCACAATTGAAGCTGAAACAGTATATTTGGTGAGATATTTAAAATGCAAAGAATGTTGCAGTAAATATTTGTATTTCCTTCATGTAGTCCCCCCTCCTCACAATTCTCTAATATGCTACAAAAAATAAATATTACTTCTTCTACTTACTACTTTCATCTATGGGAGCTAAATGTAACATATGCTTAAGTGATGGGTAAGATTTTGCATGACAATATTCTATAAATGCTTAAACCTCCACAAATCCAAACTAAATTAGGTTTTTGGATTCATATCTCCAAAGAGAATCACCTTCATTTACTGAAGAGTCACTAAATTCAGGCATTCCGGCTTTGAAAATTCTTGCTGATCCTTAGGGAGACGTCAGTACCTGTGAATAAACTTGATGGCAATATAGCAGGCTCAGTAGCTTGACCAACCGTGCAAGGACAAATTAATTGCTGTTTGAGCTCATCTTGGAAAACGTTCGGCTTGGGGTGAAAATATGGTTGGGAGAATGTAAGGGACAGAAAGTGTTTGAAAATAAGTGAGAAGAATAGGTGCAATCTTGAAAAACAGTCGTAACCAAATAACAACTACTTTGTAATGGTAATATTATTTTATCATTTCTCCTAACTTTAAAATAGCTAATAGTTGAAGGTATTCCTCTACTCTTCAGGCAAAAAATACATGCTCTTTAATGAGCACTGGGAGAAAATGTTTGCTAGTTAGTCTCACACCCCATATGCTTGGGCAGAGTAGAAAGTAGCCAATAAAGGGGAGGGAAATTGGCCTGGACTATCTCCTTAGCTAGAGGCTAAAATAGGGGGTCTTAAACTGGGATCCACACATCCCTAGGAGTCTGATAAAATGATTTTTTCTTACATTTCCTTCCTATTACTCTCCAGTGTTCATTGTAGTTGTTCTCCAGATGCTTCTATGTGAAAGCAAACTGTTTCTAAGGCAATAAAATAAATTGTATGAACATGTGTGTATGTTTTTAAGTGCATATTTCTGGGGCTTTCATGAGATTTTCAAAGGGATCTGTAACCCTCAAAAGGTTAAGAGCACTAACTTGAAGCACACACTGTCTACCTGCTTGTTTTCTTACTCTCGGCGCGACTGTCAATAAACAGAAACCACAAAATCACTGTGAACCCCCAAGACCCTTTCAGTGGCTCAGGAAATGGGGGAGCAACTAAACAATATAATTAAATTTCAACACAATCACTAGGACATCTAATAGAGAACATCTAATCATAGATAAGCCTCTGAATGTGTCTGAAGGGCAGGCTGCTCCTATTCGGTAGCCTCCAGTGCAGAAGGACAAACAACATCAGAATAGCTATCACGGCCGCAAGCAACGTGCCTCATGGGCTGAAAACATTTTTGAGTCTGAGTGTAAACAAAGGGTATGGATTATTGAGAGTGTAAAGAGCAGAGGGAAAAGGAGTAGTTTAAGGGCATTGCAAGGGCCACAATTATGTTCAAACTTATCTCTGTTAATGCATTCCAAGGACAGAAGCAGCATCCTAATTAGCACTGTTTAATAACAGAGATGCTGAGAACATACAGGAGAATCAAATCCAGGACAATATTTTGAAGATTAGGGAGCAAAATACCAAAATTAAATCAGAGAAAAGGTGTTATCTTTTTGTCCCAAACTGTACACTTGTTTTCTTGAGGGGAGGAACTGTCAAAACAAGGCAAATATCTTGAGAGGGGTTATGTAACCTCACAAAAAATAGTCGAAGGATTACCTTCTGGTAAATATGAGATATAATTGTTCAGTTCAATGTTGGTATTACAGTAAAAGCCCAATAATTTTGGTGGCCTTGGCAACACAAGAACAGCAACACACAGGAGTTTGCGTTGGCTACATTTATAACCAAAGAATCAAAATGCCCATGTATCCAAGGGAGGTTTGGGTTTGTTTTGCTTGAATAGGAATCCTTTCTGCTTTATAGCAAACCTGTGGGAAGTGTGAAAGGCACTTTCATTCAATGAGTATGTTCAAGTCCTTGTACCTAAAATACCTGCTTACATATACTTCAACTGTCTTAATTTGGTAGTAGCTGGCCCAATTAATTCTCTGTTGTCCCACCCTTTCAGCTGCTTTTAAAATGAACTAGTGTCTCTCTCCTCCCACATTTTCCCTTAATCCTCAGTTTACTTCAGTTGCTGCACACTAAGATCAAAATACTGAAGAAGTTTCCAGTCAATTAATTCCACAGGAGAGAAGAGGCGTTTTCTGCACACTAAGGCAGAAGCAAACTTGCTGCAGTCTCTCCTAGTGTCTGTTCCTCCTTGTTAATCCACTTTGCTATCTTGATCACACTCTGGTGTCTCTTGGCCAAATGCAGCCTGGCTTTTATATGTGAAATGTTGGAGGGTATGCGTTTGAAGTAAGATTCAGAATTGTTAGTTTGGCAAAACTTGAAACTAGTGGGTGGATTTTTGGGATGCAAAAGAGGAAGGCCACACAAAGGTTGGAAGGCAATAATGTAGGCTAGGGGCTCTAATGTCAGTGAATTTAAGGCCCCTTCCACACAGCTGAATAAAATCCCACATTTTCTGCTTTGAACTGGGATATATGGCAGTGTGGAAGGGCCCTTAGTCCAAACTATAAAAGGCTTTTAAAAACTGAGCTTATATAAAGAAAGAATAGACATTAACAAAAACATAGGATCAAGCGCGTTGTAGAACTTTAAACTTGAGGCTAAGAACCTCATCATATGCAATTCCTGCTCCCCCTGTTTCTTCAAACTTCTAAAACAATTCATAGACAGAGCAACAGGGATCCCATCATACTACTACGTGAACGCTCTTTGAAGGGAATTGGGGGGAATCTGCTAGAAAATGTCTTCTGAGTTCCTGCTAGAAGAGCCCTCCCCTTCCCCTCAAGCCCCTAGACCCCTTAGAAAAGTAATAAAAACTTACTTGCCCTCCATTACAAGCCTCGGTTGGCTCTTCTGGCACATAGAAATGACATACCAGGAGAGCCGGGGGAGAGGCGATTTTCCTTCCTCCCCCCCCCCCCCGACTCTCCTGGCCCATCATTTCTACACGCTGGGAGAGCTGGCTAAGGCTTGTAATGGAGGGCACATAAGTTTTTATTACTTTTCTAAGGGGTCTGCGGGCTAGGGGGGAGGCGTGGTTATTCCCACAGTTTACCGGGCTTATTTGCAGTATGCTGCAGTCCAGACCCGGAAATAGTGGATTTCTACTGCGCCTTCCAAGAAGGCGCAGAATAAATCCACTATCAAATTAATTTGCTGCAAACCAGGGGTTTCCTGTTTTATAGAGCATTAATTAGGGACTTTCCAGAACATTGTCTGGACAGCCTCTCCTTTACTGTGATAGATACTACAATAAAGGTGCTGCCTCGACTGGCCCAGGGTCTGTCAAATTTGCCTGTGTTGAATCACTTCAATGACATGGAATAATGGGTGGTGTCCTACCAAACACTGACATATATCTCCCAAAATACTGCTTAATAAGCCTACCATGATGAGTTTTTTTTAAAAAAATTAATCATTAGGAATATCACCATGTAAAGATATCACCACTTTGTTTTTCCTGTTATTTCTCTTTCAGCTTTATAACTGCCAGCTTTATAACTCCCCCCCCCCCTTTTAGCAAGTACACTAAGTTCTATTGCTTAGAAGGTTTCGGACCTCCACAAATGAGAGTAAGAAGATTGGGAGGGAAAGGAGAGAAGTCCAGAGAAGTGGTGTCTGCCTTAAGAAAAATGCCTTGTATCTCTTCTATGTATTGTTGTGCTAGAGGCCTGGGGATCCTGTGAGATGCAGGTAAGTAAACTCTTGTATTTGGAATGGGATCATAGTACGCATGTGGGAGCCAGTTCATGCTACAAGTTTGTATTAGGCCCTCCAAAAGGTCTCTTGGGCTCTGGAAGAAGGTCAACCTTGAGCTTTGAATAAATGTGACATGATAAGGTGCTTGGACTGCATATGGATGTTGACCTGCCCTATCAAGATCCACTGTCCAAAGAAGATAGCCAAGACCACAAACAGGATTTTAAAAGGGTTTAGATGTTAATATAAGCAAAACAGAGAAAGAAATGCTTATTTTGGAGAAGTATAGCCAGAATGCAGTATAGCCAAGGTTACCTAAAGGCATCTAGCTGAAAACAGCATAATGATTAATAACATGCTTTAAAAATAATCTGAGCTCAAAGCCGTTCTACAGTACAACTCAACTTCCCTCGTGCTGAGATAATGCTACATATTGGACAGCACAAGGCATTTAGCTTCACTTAGTGCCTCTGAACACATTTTGAGGTAATATTTGCTCAGCATGAGACACTTCTTGTTCAACCTCCATATCATTCAATTTACAGAAAATCTTAAATTGTTTTTAACCCTAAGGCATCTGGGAGAATGTGAACCCCAAATGAGAATACGATATGCAAAACCTTTTCATCACCCAAATATTCTTTCTCTCTTCACTCCGCTCATATATTCTTACAATTAATGACCACCTTGTTCTATGGAATTTCAATGTTTTCATATCGAACTGGTCTTTTTGGACTAAAATTCCCAGCAGCCACACTGGCCAGGAAGCCTAAGCTCCAAAAAAGGAACTTCAAAACTCTGCTTGTGTACATGTGTTTAGCTGCACGGTTTTAGCCAAGCTGTACCCTAGAGTATGTTGAAACACTCAGCCACTGTTAGAAAGGTGGCTAACAGGTGAGGTAGAAGTATTTGAAATAAGCATGCTGGCAGAGAGATTAATGTGATCTTAATCATTATGTGGGAGGAAAATAAAACACCAAGACCTGGATGGTGTTTTAAGGTTTACACTGGCAAAGCTGATCACAAATTTTGCTTGTACAAAA